AAGCCAGGGGCCTTGTCTCGCCGCTCGCCGCCGAGATGTTCATAATACACGACGATATCATCTTTATGTTTCCTGTTTTCATAAGCGTGTTGAGTGACACCTCTGACGAGATAGAGAGCGTCACGCAGCAGAATTCTCACAATAAGCTCACAATAAGTAAAGGGATAACAAAGGGATTCCTATCAGACCGCATTCTTAAAACGGTCCAATGCCAAATCCATTTTCACCTCGTCTCATTTCAACTCATCGCGAAACTCCCCAGCATCATCAAGCCATTACCAGGCAACTCACCCTGACGAAGCAAACCGGACGGAGATCCCCTTGAGGATATCCTTGGCCCTTGGATGTCCGCGTCCCTCGCGTCGCGGCGAGGGAGGATGGTCGCGGGGGAACGGATGGGCGATGTCGTCGGCGGGCGCCGCGCTCCGGGGGGGGGGGGGGGGGGGGGGGGGGCCGGGGGGGGGGGGGGGTAATTTAAGTATCTTATTTTTTTGTTGATGATGAAACCGAATTTCAAGTTTCGCGGCGTTTCCGTCGCGGTGAAAATGGTCGCGAACAAGTTCCTCGATTTCGCCTCCCAGCCGAAGAGGAAAGGACTCTTGAAAGGATTTCTTTCATTTCCGGCGAAAATAATAAACACCAGACTGTCTCCGTTGCGTCTTCGTGTATGCATGTCCTTTGCTTGTCCTTGAGATTGTCCTTAAACCAGATGGCTCGCAACGTTTTTTCTTTTTTCTCTGCGAGCTGAAAAACACCACCTGATCATCATCGAGAAAGCTGGCGCCGGTTCAAAGCCGGCATTCTTCCAGTCTTGTAATGTTAAGCCGTGAACGTCGAGACCTGTAATGTTAAGCCGTGAACGTCGAGACCTGTAATCTTAAGCCGTGTGACGTCACTTTCCCACGCAGGGAAACTCTCGGAGCGGAACGGACGGATCACTTCCAGCGTATGCAGATATATACTTACCCTTCGCAATTACCATCACCCTCTGGCGCTTGTGGTCATCGGTTACCGGCTGATTGCATAGACTTGATACGTGATTCATTGCTCGTGACGTAATTACCGATCATCCAGGGATGTTGGCCTGGAAGGCAAAAAAAAATTACTCAAAATTATACTTATTTTTTTATACACTTATATTAAATTATACACTACCAGCAAAAAAAATTTCCTTTATATTTTGGTAATTCATAAATTACCATATTTACTTACCGACTCCTGGAACTTGAAATGCTGCACTAAGAAAATAATTTGGCGAATGCCTCGTCCTATTAGCTCATTACCAAATTAGTTCTAGGAACTCCATGTTCGACCGATGGTACCATTTTATTTACATAAAAAATAAGGTCCTCGATCGCTCGGGACGTGCCCTCGATCGCTCCACGTCGCTCGTCCGAAGAAAAAAAAACAAAAAAGAGCCGATAGTTTTAAGGAGAAAGTAAACCGCGCGTGCCCCGTGTTTGTTTTCGTCTCCGTTCTGTGTACATTCCCGTCGACAAGGTCAAGGCGGGGTTCAACGGCCGCAGTGGGAAACTCGAAGGTCAATACGAAAGAAAAAAAAAGAAAAAATAATTAAAAATGAAATCCGTGGGGGAAAAATGTCGACGCGTGGAGCGACATTTCCGGAGAGTCGGCGTCGGCGGCTGATATCATCAGCGGCTGATAACCGCGCGGTCACCCCCAACACGACCGGCCGATAACGTGCTTTTTTTTTAATATGTGTATTCTATTTAGAAGAATGTAATTGAGGAAGTTGTCGCCGTTTCACGTGTCAGCGGGGTTAACGGGAGAATGACGTCGTTAGGAGTTTTATCGCGGTTAGCGATCGGTTGGCGCTTAATCTCCGTCGGGGGCGCGGCTTTCGCGACACTCGTTAATGCGAATTTTCTCGTTCTCGCGAATTTAAGAAGGCGAAATGCAAAAACTGCTGCAGGAATTGCGTTTTGAGGGACGCAAAAAATTTTGTTTCGAGGAAGTAATGAGATGACGCTGATCGGTGTCGCTCCTTTGTGGTGAGCGATCCTCACATCACGCTCGAGCGATCAAAAGGCTTGGAAGAAAAGAAAAAGAACGGAAAACACCATTAACCCTCGAAACTCGAGAGAGGGAGAGAGAGAGAGGGAGGGGGAGAGAGGGAGAGAGAGAGGGAGAGAGAGAGGGAGAGAGATGCAGCTCACATGAAGGACGTATTGGCCATGAAAGCATTAGAGAGCGAGTTGGAGATGAGAACCCTTGCTGCCATTAAGAGCAACTTGTCCGGTCCTTTGTAAAAATGACAAGAACGAAGAGAAATGAGACAGCCGATGTCCTCGGACAGGCGAACAGAGTTGACCTGCCTCGGGTTTGCGTCAGGGTTGCCGACTCGTCGAGCTGCGTTGGCCTGCTTTCGCCAGCGGGGAGGTTCGTATTGCGTCCTGCCCGGAGGTTTTCGAGAAAGGTGTTTCTAATGTACAATCTTTATTTTTTTAATTTGAAACGATTTGATGCATTTCGCCCTTGGTCAGATTTTCTCTGCTTCTTGATGAGAAAAAAAACTCTGGCAGCACTGACGCGCTCCTCTTTACCCGACGCCGAAGAGGAGACAAAGACAGGCCTTCGACGAGGTCATTTGTCATGCCCTGGAGACCGGAGTTGTCACCCTTTGTGGGTGTCCAAAGATCCGCTCGCTCTCTGATGCCTGGATGGCCGATATAGGTTATAAGGTCGACCGCGGCGACTCTCCTGTCCTCTCCCTTTCCGCTACTGCGAGACGCTCTGGCCCCAGAAGGCGCCTCTTCCATTCTCCACGGGGAGGCGGGTGGAAGGGAGGAGGAGGTGGAGGTTCTTTCCATGCATTGCTGGTGTCGCAGATGAGCTACCGCTACCGATTCGATCGGGGACGCGAGCGGCGCTTCGGACTAGCGTTTTCGCCGGCTCCTCGAGCTTCCTCGACCTCGACGGGCTCCGCCGAAAATCAGTCGACCAAAGAAGGTGGTACCGATTAATTGATAAGCGATAAGGATTTAAATCATGAAGGCTATGCTTGCAATTAGGAGTCTAGGAGGGAGGCTCTCGCTTTTCCTCTCCCGACGGTCCGAAACAATTCTCGATGAAAAAGAGTTTCCAATCCATTGTTTCCTTTTAGTAGAGCTGGAGGTGAGGCGTTCCGATAGCAGGGAGAATTTGATCAACGAAGAATCAATTCTAAGCTGAATATGTTTTACTTTTCTTCCTCGAAATTTTCCTCACAACAGACCACAGGAAAAGCCGAAAACGTCACCTGCGATCCACTCTAAAGGTGAAAAAAAAAAGCTTAAGCATTGCTTACGCGACTGAAAAAAAAAAACGTTCACCTTCCAACCATCCGTCGAACGCAATCGCTCCGCGCGATTGAACGCAGCGGGGGCGCCGGACACCCGAGCGGGTCGGCCTTGGTCGAAGGAATCCTGGGATGGACTCAGACCCCGCTGGGCCCCGTTGAGCCCCGCTGGGCCTCATCCATCGTCCGCCGTTCGTCTCGCCCTTCCGGTCATCGGTTGCCGGACGAAACCGATTCTCGACGGAGGAGCATCACAGAAACTTCTTGGAGTCGGAGAACGCAAATTCTCAGAACTCCAAAGGGGCTTCGAATTTCCCAGCATCGTTTTCTGATCCGTCGTATCCGGCTCATGGTTGGCATCACCCACGCGAGGAGAGCTCCGAGATCGGATATCCCATCGTCTGAAAGAAGGAAACGAAGTTCAAAGAGCCGCATCGTCGCATGTTTCGTCGCAAGTCTCGTCGCAAGTCCCGTCGCGTGTTTTGTCGCAAGTATCGTCGCAGGTCAAGTCGCAGGTTTCGTCGCTCACGGGAGCAGTCTCACTTCCCATTGGAGGCGGAGGGGGATGACGAGGGCGGTGTCTCCGTATATCGTCCGAGGAAGTAATGGCTGGTTCTTTTTATCGGAATAAATATTAGGAGGGGGACGATGATGATATCCGCAGAGGAATGCGTGCAGGGGTTACGAGAAGGGAGGAAACTCGAAGGACAGCTAATGAAAGAGGGCGAGGGTCCCCGTTCCGTGCCGTCCCTTCAATTACAGTTCCTGTCTCCCTCGAAGTCGTTTCCATGGATCCAGTACGGGGGGGCTGAGGCTCGGTCCACGTTACGCAGTGGTGTCTCTACACGCACGCTCTCGTGCGGGGGGGGAGCACTTCGGCCTCCTTCGAGGTCTGTCATCGGTTCCTCTTCGATGATCGACGTGGGCCAGTCGCGGGCCAGGCTGGGATGGAGGCCGGTGCCCCGGTGAACCCCCGCGTGGAGGCCTGGCTCGAGCAGCTGGTCGGAGGGGATCAGTCGAGGGCGGAGAGGCGAGGGGTGCAGACGACGCCGCGCGGCGGGGACGAGGATCTCTCCGCTTTCTCCGGGTGTCTTCGATACAGGTATCTCGTCGGAGACTTGCATTCGGGGCGGGGCGGGGAGGGGAGGGAGAGTGGTGTTGGATGTTTAGAATATGAAATCTCCTGGAGGGTTCCACTCGATCGAGTATCTCGTACATCAATCGAACGGCCGAAAGTGCACACCACAATAGCGAAAAAATCTCCAGCAGCAAACACATCTGCAATCACGTCCATAACGCTCATTCGAGGGGAAGGAAATGTGTCTGTCACTTACTTCCGTCGAGATGCATTCGGAAGCGATAAGGACCCGCACGAAAGGTGCCGACTGAGATACATCGAAAAGACATTAGGGTGCATCGCCGATCGATCACCTCCCACTTGTGTCTCTATCAGCATCCTGTTCGTGCCACCTTTTGTTAGGTTTCATCTGGGAAACCGACGGTGGCGTCCCGCGCGACCTTCGAGATGACCGCATTCCGCGAAGCCTTCGAGGCGAGGAGCATAAATGAAAATTAAGGGAAAAAAAAGGCATGTGCGTCCTTGGGCTCGAAGGCAGCGCGAGCCGGCGTGTAGAGCATCCATCAATCAAGAGCGGCAGGAACGCAAGACGCTCATTAGGCAAGGAAATGGACACCCCGATCGATGAATGAGGAGATTGCACGTATCGCGGGGTCGAGGCGGACGCGGGAAGAGATTGCGGGGAGGCGCTCTGGCTTGGTCGCGGGGCGATTTCGCCAAAGCCCCGCGGTCATCGCGATCGTCTCCGTCGAAGTCATTCGTCGAAGGTCGGCCGTGATGCAACAGACGTGAGTCCACGTCTGTTTGCCACTCAGAGGTTAGTCTTATCGATCGCATTGAATTATGATGCAGAAACACCAATCGGTACGCAAACGGCGCCGATAAAAATCCCGAGAAACGGCCATCTCCGTCGACCGCCGAATCGAAATTTTACAAGGAAATCATATGGATATCCGCCAACCAGTCCCAACCGCCCCTAACCTGCCCAAACCGACCTAAACCGTCTCCACCTCGCCCAAACTGACCTCAACCGTCCTCAACCCACACCAACCGCCTCCCTTTCACCGAGAGAAGAACCACCGTAAAACACGAAAACGCAGGCGAGGTCGTAAGACCAAACTGGGTCGAAAGCATCCATAAGAGGATGCGCATGGGGCGCAGTCCAATCCAGTCCCCTCCCAACCGCCTTATCGGCAGCAATGATCTCCCCGTTCCAGTACTTCTGGGCCGGCTGCGACCCCGCCTGCAGCCCCTCCTTCCCCTGCCAGCTCTGCCTGGACTTCTTCAAACGCCAGGAAGAGAAGGAGTTCATGAAGACCTACTTGTACCTGTGAGCGACTCATTCTCTTTCTCTCTCGTTAATCCATATCCCATTCGTGACAACCGAGTTGCATGAGACATCCAGAGGAATGCCGACCGCCCCCCCCTTTCGCCCCCTTTGCATGCTCCCCCCCGCCCTCACACGAGATCTGATGTCGGGAGGCCCCTCGGCCTCGTCAACCGTTTTGGTCAGTTTTTTTTTTTCCAGGGACGCAAGCGCTTAGGTCCGGAGATCAATTTTGATTCATAAATCTCCACTATTCTACTACTATTCACTATTCCACTATTATTAACATTACCAGGGAGTTCTCATTATTTATTTTGAAAAAAAAATCTCATGACTCGATTTGTTCAGTCAGTCATTTCTCTCGCTCGAATCCGACGTGGTTTCAGTCTAAAGCAGGGGTGGACAACTCAAAAGGTTGAGTGCCATTTGCGATTTTAACTCACCTACCGCGGGCCGCAGTCTGGCTGATCATAGCTGTGGCCAACAGGACAGGAGCCATTGTAGCACTTACAACGCCACCAGTCATGACGGACCACGAGGAAGGGCCTCGCGGTCCGCGGGCCGCATGTTGTGCACTCCTGGTCTACAGCATTCATCGCTCCTCCCATTACTTATTGTCCCTCCCATTACCAAATTGCTCCTCTCATTACCCAGTTCCACAGTCCACAAAAGTCAGTTCTTCTTGGGTTCAACCCAGAGAGGAAACTAGAGAAGAAAAAAAAAGAGAAGCAAGCACAAAAGAAACATTCGGATACGAAAGAAAAACTGAGACCAAATCTAGCACGCTCAAGTAGACAATCTTTGGGATCAGCAGTTGCGCCGCAGGACTCAGCCGTGCCGGTTGCAGGGCCCTGCTACCAACTGTTTCCGGTTTTCAATTTTTGGTGAAAGTAAGAAAAATCTGAAAGAGGCACGAAAGAAGGCGAAGCAGTGGAACCACTGAGCTAAAGAGTAGAACTCGCGGGGGCCGCACCGGCGGTGCCGGGTTCTCGCATGCGATTGGCTGTCCCAGATAGAGCCATTCTCGGATCGCACATCGAAGTGCTGAAATTACGTCGGGTTGTGCTCTAAGTTAGTGGAAGTAACGGAGGGCTCTCTCGTCATTCGAGATTGGCATCAGTTTGACATCAGCCTCCTCTGATGCATTTATTCAACTCGCGGATTGCCTAAACACGGGATAGCTCGGGGTGAGATCCGGAAAGGCTCTCTATCTATCCTGTGAGTTGGAGCCCCGGGAAGGCCTCTATCGGCCGTGCGTTGGAGACTTTCCTCTATCCTTTCCACTCGCAGTCCAACTTGGCTCTGTGTCGATTTGAATTCGACGTCGAGGACAGCGATCTCCCGTTTTTGCTGATGGGCAAAAGTCCCGTTCCTTCCGGTATGGGGTTGATCGATCGACAAGGAATATCTACTTTTTACTGATTTTCCTGTTGAGCCTACTCTGTGAAAATTGTGCAAAACCGTTTGTGTTTCGATCAATACTCCCAGGTGTTACAGGAAAACATTCACCGCAGTATCTGCCTTGCATCAATCCCCCCCCCCCCAAAAAAAAAAAAAAAATTTCCAGCGAAATGTCTCAATGAAGAATACCTCGTATGAGGGAATTACCGCCAGGCTCCGATTGCAGTGAAATTGCCAGCATTCCTCGGTGAAAAGACGAAAGCATGATAAATATTTGAAATAAAAGAAGCAATAATATAAAGATCTGATGGCATCGAGGGCAGATTCGAGAAAGCTCCTAAATTCCGCTGCCTGCTTCGTCGAACCCGCAGGCCCACGGCCTCAAGAACGGCATGAACGACTGAGAAATCAACGTATAAGATAAGAACAACATGTATACGAAGGCATCTGTGCCCTCGGTCGGCACGATGACGTTGAAACGTTGAGACACCGTTTCACGTTGGTATCAACGAAGAATCGACAGAAATGAAATGCCGACAATCCGTGAGTGAAAATTTCTCTTCCAACGACGTTCAACCAGCATCAGCGCGTTCTCGGCAGAAGGCAAACGAATCGAGAAAGAGTTCCCCCCCCCCACCCCCCCAAAGGTCTCGGATCTTTTTGCACGCGCAAAGGAGGGACTCGGGCCGAGGAAGCGAGGGACTTCGTTTTTTAAAGATCCAAATGTCCTTTGAATGACGTGGGGTGAATCAATTCTAGGATTGATTGAAAGAGTGCGGATTTAACATTGCAAATATTCTGTGCTATTTTCAAACCCGGCACGGACAGCGACCAGTGTAGAGATATGAACACCCCCAAATATAGTACAGGGTGGGCACGAAGTCCCTTTGCAATGAAATTACAGCACATCTGTATGTTGTCCGCCGTTCTCGGCACATTGTTTGATCCATGTCCATGTTCTCTCAGACGTTTTCTTCCGCGTTGAAGGCTGAATATCATAAAAGCAGTCTCTGATGGCTGTTTTTAGGTCCTCGACATCTGTTAGCCGCAGTCGGGAAATCTCCTTCGCAATGCCCCGAAGTGAATTATCGCATGTTGTCAAGTCTGGGCCTCGAGGCGGCCATGTCGTATCAGACCCTCTTCCAATCGCATCGGAAGTCGCACGAAGTCTCTTAGCACGAAAAAAAAAAACAATGTTCTCTAGCTGTATGTTTTTTTGTTCGATTTTGCACATTTTGCACAACGCATTCAGCGGACGATGGATTGGACGAGGATCTGATATGGCAACATGCAAAAGAGCTGTAATTTCACTGCAAAGGGACTTTGTGCTCACCCAGTACTATCGAGGGGGGCAAGCAAACACACGCCCCCCACCGCAAAGGAGGGAGATCCCAGGGCGATAAGAGAGATCGCCTCAAACGTGATGGCCTCAAACATGATCGTTTCAAACACGCAAATCCGTCGCGGAGCGAAACATTACCGGTGTGTGACGCAATTAATCATTGAGGATTTTGAAGTTTACGGCCTCGCATGCCGTCGGTCGTACTCACGGTACTTAGTAAGTACTTGCTGGGGACGGTAGTACACGCTGGAGTACCGCCGGCAAATATGTGCTTTCCCCAGTTAAATTCTCGATTTAGCGCCAAGCTGGAAATCGCAATCATGCTACCATAGCACAAGTGTCGAGCATCGGAGGGGAAGCAGGATGGCAATATAAGTTGGCAATATTCCTTGAATAATTTCGGTGAAATTTGGGTGTGATTTTTCCGAAATGATTTTTTTTTTGTTGTTATTTGCGATTTTCGTTTTCGTTGTAGTTGAAGTTTCAGCTGTAGTTGCTGTTTCATCCTTACAGGTAACGACTAAGAAAGGTTCAGTTCGCGAAGGTTCTCATATTAGTAAACGGAAGCCAATTGACGCAGATGATAATGGCGGACTCTCGTCGATGAGGATGAATCCCGGGAGAAAAAAAAAAAAAACTAGCTAAACGGGATCTTCGCGGGTCGCGCGAACGCATGAGTGCCTCAGATGTTGCTGGGACGAGATGGCCAGGAAATCGAAGGAATTGCAGAGATAATAAAAAAAAACAAGGTCGAACATTGACTTCGCCACTGCGTGAATTAAAATGAGCATCACCAGATGAGGAGAGATCAACGATCCGCGAACGGGGTGCGAGCAAGCATGATGGTTCTGCGCTGTTTGCGGCCGAAGCGCAGCATCCATCATCTGGATTCAAAACAAGCGAGGACGCAGTTGGGTCGAGTGATTTCGTCCGCTGGAGTGGAAGGACCTTCAGTGGGATGAGGACATGGCCTTCATCATCAGCTTGCACTGAACCGATTCGTTTTTCCTTCAATAGAAAAATGCTTCTGGAGGGTGTGGCTTTTGATGCACCCTGTACATAAGATGGCCCATGCCCTCTATAATGGGGAGTGATTAAACTCTCATTTCCCAGACGTAGAGGCTTAACCTTGGCGATCGCCTCTCTGGCGGTATTTAAAAATGCTCTCATTTCCTTCGTGCGTGCTTTGTCCGCCCACCAGATCCCCGTACAAGAGCGTGAGGAGCCGATTGACCCACCTTATGGGGAGCGACATCGCCCGGATCAACGACCGCTCCTACATGTCCGAGCTGGAGAACCGTCTCTGCCAGTGGCACCGGGAAGACATCAACAGGTACGGTGACCCCAGCGAATCGCGGCGTTCGCTCTCGCCCTCCCACCGCGGAGCCTCACGGTCTTCCCTCCCATCCAGGCGGCTGGAGGAACGGGCGGCGGAGGAGCGGCTAAGGATCCTTCAACTCGGTCTTCCCACCGCGAAAGAGCAGTACAGCTCCAGTTCTCCGTGGACTTCCAGATCGCGGGTGCGTGTCATCCACGCCTGACAACGAGATAAGCACGGGAGGATTTATGCTCGTCCCAGTGCCCCAACGACTCCGCATCGATTAAAGCGAGAAGCCTTGCCTCGAAGGAAGACACGATATCCGTTGTCTTCCTTTACGAAGGGCAGCGTTCCTCATATTTCATATCAAAAACAGTTATTTGCACTGCTCTCATGACTATAGACATCTAGTAAATGATAAAGCAGAAGTAAAACCCGATATGATATGTAACGCCAAAGAGATGTGATACCAGGCTACCGCCTTCTATCTTCTTTCTCGGGAGGCGTGAAAATGAATTCGATCCCAAGCTAACTTCAAGGCAAGCCTTTGGCAAGTGCTACATCTTGAGTTTTTGGAGCGATTCGAGCATGTTATGCGAGGAAAGATAAGTCTTTCTGAGTAGTGGGACAAACATCGTAATTCGTATTCCCTGTGGCAACGCGATATCAACTCTTCATAATATTTCATAATGTGAACCTAATATTTAAACCATCTCCGGTGTGTGTTTTTGATGCATGGGAGATCCATGATAGGGTTGATGGAACAAAGATAGCAAAGGCTATGGAAATGAAAGGAAAAGGAATCTGTAAGAAAAAAATCGAATTTAAATTGGATGCACATTCCAGCGTTACAGTACCAACACGGCTCTGTTACGGCTGAAAGAACATGAACGGAAATGGAGAGAATTTGCAGAGCGCATTTTGCAATGCGACCCATGGTCTAGAATCTCTCGTGCCTTTAAATTCTACGCCTTGGTGAGAATCTCGTGGAACTCAGAGATGAGCACCGTCGAAAGGTGGGGCATATCTGGGCCTCTTCTATGCCCCCACTTCAAGTCTGTTGCTATCCACTCTCCAGTTGATTGTTCTCGTTGATCTGGTCAACTAAGACTTCAAAAATAAAACCAATGGGGGATGGTACCCCTGAGATGGGTCACACCGGGAAGAAATGTGCACGCCACTGTCACCTGTTACTAAACTAAGACCCTCATGTCTCTCGACAGCACTGCGGGCCCTTTTCGAGGAGAAAAAGCTCGAAACAACGCCCCAACTCCGAGGAGCCAAATCAAAATGCCCCCCATGAGTCATGGATTACCGAAGGGACGAATCATTACCCTCCAATGACATACGCGTCCTCCTTCCGAAGGAAATTGGAGAAAATCCAGGTGAGAATCTCATGGGGTCAGACTTGAGAGTGTTTCTACCCTTCCTTGATGAAGCAGTTGCAATTACTATTAGATAACGCAACTTTGGCATGATGTACGGCGAAAAAGTTACTATGGAGGAAAAAAAAGCTTCTTTGAAATGAATTACTTTCCCATTTGGCAGGGAAGGACCCTTTACAAGACCCTCAATTCATTCAAGTCTTCATAGTATAGGTATATGATCATGTCTGCCTTTCCTATAGGATCTGGATTCCCTCTATCATCTTGGAGACAAGCTTCTATACCCCAAGGTGGAGTTTGAGAGGGAAGCGAAACCAGAAGAACCGATGAGGTTGAAGATCCTTGAAAATGCCATTTTCGAGCACATTCTGAGTGAGGAGGAAGAAGAGGATGAAGAGGTTTTTGACCAGTATGCATTGTGACAGCATTCTAGGAACTTCTTGGAATTCAACATATGAACACAATTCATTCCTGTCACCTCTGTGGCCTTTACCCGATGATCAAGTATATCAATGCATCCCTTCCCTTGGTAGATGTGGGTGCCACAAACATGGCTCAAGTGTTCACTTGTTTCTATAGAAGTGATAAATGTACTTGGAACAATATGTCTCTAATTTGACAGCAACACCGCATCTTCTACAGGCAATTTTCAACCTGGTGAACTGGCCAGCACTAACTGCATTGATTTACTTCCAAGGAATTAAATGAAAAACACATTCCTTCATATATGATAGTGATATCATTATTATTATTCACACATTGCAATCACATTAAAACAGGAGAGGGAAAGCTACAGTAACATGCAGAGCACAGTAGAGTATAGTTGGTTGGGTAGACCTCAAAAGAAAATGAAGAGAAATTCTGGAATGGCTCCAACAATTCCAGAAAACATGACCAGGTGACCATATCACAGCCATCTCCCTTTATTTACAGTCATCAGGACCTGGGAGGTGCCTCCATGACAGTCAAATACAGGATCTGAAAGTTTAATTGGTGCTTTGCGGAACATAAACATCACATCAAAGACAGGATAGTGTTGAGTGAATTGCGATATTATATTCAATTTGAGAGTGAAAATGTCTTTTGAAGCAGACATACAACAATGCACTCATCACTCTCAGTCATATGTGCCCAACTGGATCATCTCTACAACCTTTTTTACTGGTGCATCTTACATGATTTTTCTTCTACCTACAATGATCCACATTTGAGATTATAGTGCCACTATCCCAATAAAAAAGACTTCAGAGCCTCATGAGATCTAGAGCATTCTCATATAACAAAACATACGTAAAACAAGGATCACTTCACGCGTGCTTACACAGCAACTTTCCAATGGTTGCCATGTCCTGTCTTCATATACCCCTAAGGTAAGAGATATATAAAGACAAGAAAGAACCAGCATAGCACTACAACCACTTTATGTATGTGCTACCCTGCAGCTACCTCCTTCCAGTCCTGTCTTATCAAAAGTGGATAGAATGCTTACGTAAAAACATCACAAGAGCCATATATCACCACAGAGGCATGTCCGTCACTGTGATGCCTTCCATTCACACTTCATGAATTTCCCTTCCCAAACAGAAAAGCCAAGGAAAAGAAGATAACTGCACTCAATTCAAATACTGATCTGTAAGATTTCTCAATTCTGAATTTCATAAAATGAGACTTAGGAGTCATTGAAAGAAACCCACTGACCACATCCAGCAAATGATTTTGGACATTCATTACTTGTACTGGTATCCAAAATATACCACAACTCTCACTCCAGGAAGAAAGGCTGGGGTAGTTCCATCATTGAGAATGCTTTGTACCCCAAGCAACTTTTTTGAGGTTTCTTGATTGATGAAAGGAGAATGAAACTCCAAAATCACCTATTGACTGATTAGCAGCATCCTGAGCTGCTGTATGGGGTGGTTGCTCCTGAACCTGTCATGTTGGTGCCACCTTGAGTGTGCTGAGGTCCCAATTTTATGCCATTTGCTTCATTGTTGGGGTCAAACACTCCCTCCTGCAGCTTCATGTAGATTTCCTTGGCTGTGCTGATGAAAGCCTCTTCCACATTGGCAGCCGTCTTCGCAGAGGTCTCCATGAAAATCAAGCCATGCTCCCGGGCAAATGCCTCTCCCTCTTCCTTCTTCACATCACGCCGACTCTCCAGGTCGCTCTTGTTTCCGATGAGCATGATGACCATGTTGGAGTTGGAGTGCTGTCGAGCATCATCCAGCCACTGGGTCAAATGGTTGAATGTATCACGTCGTGTAATGTCATATACCAAGAGCGCACCAGCTGCACCCCGATAGTAAGATCGAGTGATGGATCGAAAAGCCTCTTGCCCTGCTGTATCCCATATTTGAAGCTTGATTTGTTTGTCCTCAATGGTGATCATACGTGCCCCAAATTCCACCCCAATGGTGAGGTCATGCACAGGCTGGAAACGCTTGTCTGTGAACTGAAGCAGCAAGCAAGATTTACCCACCCCTGTGTCGCCAATAATGATATACTTGAAGAGGTATGCGTAGGACATGGTTGTCTATCAATCACTTGGACCTGACCACAATCAATTGGACTTCAAATATGTTGAAATTTCTGACCAATTGTCCTGAGTGCTTGATCTTTATTCACTGGGAACTTTTATCTCAACAATCTGCAGAGAAAAAGTCAACTTCATCAATTCTAAATGAAGAGTCTACTATTATTTCCAAGATTTTATTATATTAAAAGCTTATAAAATTATATTATCATTACATTAATATTAAAAAATCCAAAATGAGTTGTCTTCCATCGACTATACATCCAAACCACAGAAAGGGGAATCTGGTACACTTGCTAACTCTACTCTAACTATGCATATTGTTTTAGGTCTAGATCATCATGCACAAGAATGGTACAGTAAAAGTAAAAATTAAAAAAAAACTTTCATCATAAAACATGGAGTATGGTACTTTTGATATGCAAAGTATACAATATCAACAGACAATGAAAGCGATATTTGAAAAAAATTTGGGAAGCAAGTGATGTGAGCAAAGAGGTAACATGTATAGTTCCAAATTTACCATAAATGGATTTTGCCTACAATATATTCATGTACATTGGGTTCAAAGAATTAGCAAGCACTAAATTTATGAAGACAGCCTAAACTTCCATTGTGTACTTGTCTACGTTCACATGGTTGAGTTGATGCACCCTGACTTATGGAACACACCCCAATACAAGGCATGGCTATCATAGAGAATATTGAAGCTGTGACTTGTGACCTGAAAAAGTAATCCAGAATGCATTTGAAAACCCCATTTGCACCATCCAACACATTCATTGGCAAGATAACAGCAGCCAACATGCTCAAGGTAGCCTTGTACAGAATTCCTCCTAGGGAGGAAAGATAGCCTCAACAACTCCTGCATCCAGTTGGAAGAGATGAAAGTATTTACCTGAATGGACATCTAAATGCATCTGGAAGTGGTTGAAGTCAAATTCTGTATTGCCTTCCATTGATGTAAGCTAATAAGGGCAAACGTAGGCTTGAACATCAATAGTGAAATATGCCAATTTGTTTCATCTTCCATTAACACAAGCTGTCCCTTGCCCTGATATCTATCTAGAAAGTCAATCACAATAACACAGATAATACTTGAGGGCAAGAGACTTAAAGAACAAAGGAAATTCTAAGCATTTTGTGGATACATGTTTGCTGATCTTATATATCAATAATGTACATTTCAATAAAAGTAGAACTGAAATTCATCAAATTTTCCAGATACTCAAACATAACAGATGGAACTTTCTGGAAGAGAAAATACTTTCCTTTTATCTATTTCTGAAATCAGGATGTCTAGCTCTGACAGACCAGGGTGAGTAGGACCAGGACCAGACTCTATGAGAAACAAATAATTAGCATCTTTCTTCACTTGCCCTGAGTTTCAAGCTTCCTGTTATTTTTAATGCAGCTGCTTCTGTCTCAAAATCTGAGATGTTCAATTACTAGAATGGAAAGAAACCGTAAACCAGGATGCCCACATGGGTATGACTCCAGGTGTCAATTGAGTAAGGCAACCACCTGCTCTTTCAGGACATGGAGAAAACAGACTGAAGTGAGGGTGGTGTCACCTGCAACCAGGTGGCCCTCATTCTCCAGCTTAGACAAGATGCCATGGGTCTAAATAACACAAGCAATCAAGCAAAGTCAAAGATACTGCACAGGAGAGAGCCAGAGTGCATCACTCTAAATGCCAAAGTTACTCAGAAGACCACCCAAGCAATCAAAGAGAGAATGGAGCCTTGGCCTTAAAAAAATTTTTTTTTTAAGCCTTTAGAGCCCATCTCATGAGAGAATATAGGCATGCTGACAATAAGGTCTGACGCCTAAATAATGTTATCTTTAGGGATCTACGGTTATTGACCTAACATTAGGCCAAGTCTGGAGATGAGGCAGCCCAACGCTTCTTGAGCCTAAATTAGGTCTAATGGTATATTTATTTTTTATTCGAATAAGACACTTCTTCGATTGACTCCGTCATCCACGCACTGGATACCATAAGCCTACGTAGGAGTTGAAGTGCTTCGAAGTCATCGACTCCAATTAAAGGGGTCTAACTCTAGCTCCGTCGAGAGGATGGCTGGAACCACGAACAGGCCACGAAAGCTTCAACAAAGCCAATAATGCATAAAAATCGGGAACGCAGCCTAGGCCTCTGACGTCTCAACGCGACGCGACGACGGGCCAGCTGTAATCTAAGCACTCATAGTGATAGCTGCAATGAACGCGATCCACCACCAGCCAGCTGCCATATTGAGCGTCTGCTGCGCTGCCAGCCTACTACGTCGTCGTCGTCAGCCCACTCAACTCTTCACAAAAGGGTGTGTTCGTTTTCTCAGCCGACTCGAGGGGAGCTCGTCACCATCCGTAAACCCAGGTGATCATCCCGTCGATGCTCCTGTACGTCTCGGATTGATCTCAAGATGGCGCCGACCAGCGATCGTCTTGAGCGAGCCGAGGATGATTAGTCACCACGGCGGGCGAGGGGCTATCCCCGTCGAGTGCATGCTTCCAGGGAAAAGTCTGTTTCGGTTCTCGTGAATAGCCGCTGACGTCATCAAGTGAAAATTGGCCCCTTTAGGAAGATGCAGTTTTCTGATTGGTTTCTCTCTCCTTCCGCGAATTTCCCTTTTGTTTACTTTCGGATCCCTCGAAGGGAAACGACTGCGGGAGATTTCTCCACGACTGAGAAGGCGACTGAAAAAATTTATGTTCATCGTTTGCGGATATCGGATGGGTCGATGTATTCATCGCGGGACGTTCCCCAGAATAACCCTTTCGCCGCGGCGATCGAGAAAATTCGGTGGCTAGCGCGGCTGACGAGAGTAGACTCGATCTCAAAGTTAGTGTCGCCCGCACGGCAATCGAGTATATCCAAGCAGGAAAAAAATTATCAACTTATATTCACCTTCATATGACCTTATGCACTAAAAAAAAAAAAAAAAAAAAAAAAAAAAAAGGATGTGACTGCCAGACTCCAGCTGCTAACCTTGCACTTCCCAAAATTATCCATTATGTGGTCTCCAGGCCCATATGCAACGTTCAGAATTTCTTTTTCCATCGTATGCATGCCTGCGAGCTATCGTCAGCATTGCATTGACTCATCAGTTCTTGCCAGTAGGATTAAGATGACAACAGCTTCAATTTCATCAGTGCGAGCCTTATAAACGTCTCGTAAGAGCGCATTATTATCCTCTGCGGGAATTCGAGGTAGGTTCCTTTTTAAAAAAATTCGGGCATGAAGGGGTTAAAACGCTTCAGTTTGACGGGGACGTACCCCTTCCAGCATCTAACATGTTTTTAGATCCCCAAACCACGAGACGGAGAAATCGCGCCACTGATTGCATGAGTCACCCCTACTCGCACACCAAGATGGTGCTCATTTGTCTTCGATCCGATGCGCAGGAAGACTAAGTCAGAAAAGACGCATTTCTACATAGGAAAGCTTTTATTACTCCATGTCCCAAACTGACATCAGCAAGCCACAGTCCTCTCCGTCCCCGAGGCGAGGAGGAGCCGTCAGAGCCGGCGCCGGCCCCTGCGTCCCGTGCCGCCCCGACCTCTCCCTTCCTCTCCGTCGGCCGAAGGGCGCAGCTCTCCGTGCAGTGCTTCATACAAGGCCTTGGCATTTGTACTGTTCTGCAGGCATGCCGATAGCTCTTCCTGCGTGGGGAAACGGCGGAGATGCACGCGAGTGAATTCCAGCACAAGCCTGTCACGTCGCGAGATCAATGATGGTCAAATACATTTTTGCGATTTTTCGTCTCAAAACCCCAAGTGACTCAATTTGAAATCCGAGACCTTATAAGTGCTGTGCATTGGATTGTTAAGGCTGTCATTCTTTGCATAGTGCAGCATGAAAAAAAAAAACACATTCAATTACTGAGAAACTTAAAGGGTCAAGAATTGATCACATAAATTCTATTGCTAGTATGTTTACCACAGCATCCAAGCCACATACTACCGCATTTTAAGCCCAAAAATGGTAGTTAAAGGAAAAATTTTATTTTCAAAAAGTAAAAGAACCAAAATAAAGGGCCGTCATGTCTCTGAGTTCAATCTTGCATTCTTTCACAAAGGATATTTCTGTCACTCGTCTATCATGCATGTCCATCTGAATTCCCCATCAATGGAATATCACAAGGCCAAAGTCTCTCATCAACCAGAATACATCAGGACAAGGACAAGTCAATCACTTGAACAAATGCAATACCTTGCCACAATTTCAACTCACCTGAGACAATTTCATGAGTCCCTCCAAATCTTCAGCTTGATTCAGCAATGCATTCTGATTCTTGGAATTTACTCCAGGTAACTTGATCACAAAATCCTATGGAGCATTGAGCACATTTAAATGAGAAATGGACATATATCATGGGATAAAGGACAATGACCAGAAAAATATATGAGGGAGGAATGTACACGGATCACAGGGTTGTATTTTTCTGCTACAAAGTCTTGAGCATCTTCTGTCGTAACACCAACTGCCTTGCTCACGTCCGGCTCTTCGCGTCCTTCCTGAAAGGATGACTTGGTCCATTCCAATAGGTCTAACTGAACTATGATAAACAAAGAGGACTACTGCAGAGGAAGAATGATTGCTTCTCATGCCTTCAGGTGGTGGAAGAGCTCTGCTGTTGCATATGGGCCTGGAGACCACATAATGGATAATTTTGGGAAGTGCAAGGTTAGCAGCTGGAGTCTGGCAGTCACATCTTGGGAGGAGGCATCTGTCGACAGATAGTACTTCCCCTGAGGAGACACACCAAGTACAGCTTCAGTTAAACAATTCAATGCAATTCAAGGCTACATGATTTTGAGAGTGTTAGGAGCCCTCACATGTTGCAGGGTGAAGGGTTTGTCATGGTCAAATTCTATGAGCAGCATGGGCCGTGCATAAGTGCGAGTCATCGCTTGGGCCTGGGTGTACAGACGACCAGAGTTCAATGACTGGATGAGATCACTGATGCTCTTCCTCTCCACACAGATTTCAGGTGTGAGAATGTAATCACCAATCTGAGAGAGAGAGAGAGAAATCAGTGCCTTGAAACAATGCAATACAGTTAATGTATCAAGACTTCCATTAATATATATATTTGTATCACTCCATATGCCATGCCAGTATCAACTATGTTTCCCAGATTCATACATTTTAAAATGCCAAAATTGAAGGCCATCAAACTACTGCACCTGAAATAAAACAGGATCTTCAAAGAGAACACAGGGAATGAAGAAGAAAGTATGAAAGGATGACAGCATAACAACTCCCAACTGGGGAAAAGTTAATCAAGTAGGACAAATTCCAAAGTCAGTATTTTCCCTCCTTAATAAACTTTCTCCAAATTGGGAGATGTTTAGATGTCATCCATACATTTTAAATATAATGGGAAATCTGACATGCCAGTTCAATATGGGAGTATTCAATCAGCTCAATGGTTCTAAGAAGGGTAAAGCTGTTATATCATTTTTAAATACATAGTAGCAATAATTAATAAACAGTTGAGGGACATAGGTGGGGTGATATGAATTAATGAAAAAAAAAGGTCCATTTTAAAAAGCATCTGTATTTTTATTAGCTTTGTATTAAAATGAATATTCTTTCATAACACGAAGATTCAAATTAGACTGATCCCAAACAAAAATAACTTTTTCAATCTATACACTCAGTGAAATATTGCTGTTGGGCAAGATCAGTAAGCATCATATATAAAGTCTGGAATCTTCAATCAGGATTAAAACAGCATCCTGCAAAATATGCAGGGTGATATAGCAACATCAATGCACGTGCACAAACCTCCAATGTAACCGGTTCGATGTCAATCCCCCTGCGGTGAATGAGAGAAGGGAGTTCACTGCGGAATTCCCTCATGTCCACAATGACCTTCTCTTGCTTCTTGGACTCCAGATCTTGACCTCCTGATCGCTGTGTCCTCTTCTCTGAATTCACCATTTCACTAGCTTTTCTTGGATCACGTGACAACAAAGGATGGTCTTCATCTCGTCCCTCAGCATCTTTTGGCACGACCATCGTCTGGAAGACAGTAACAATAACTTTGGACTCCATTAATTTCTTCATTAGCAAAGCACTAATTTTTATAGTGAGCAGTGCTACATTGCATGGATATGAAAGGGAAAAGCACAGGGTTAATTAGATTGGGGAAGTGCACAAGAAAATTGTGTGAATAGCTATGTCACTTGCGCTGAACTAGTGCTGTCATTTGAGTCTATGCAATGCCATTGCAGTTAGATTACACTGGGCAGAGTGAGACATAGTGCACATTCAGTGCAGAGAATGAAAGTCACTATTGGAGAATAAAGTATTAATGATACTACTTCTCAAGGCTGCACTTACCGCCTTCTCATTGATGAGTCTCTCGAAAGCCACTTTTTCTCTGCGCAAGGTGGTCAAATAGGCTTGTTCTTCCACACTGCCCTCATACATGAGCACATACACTCTGAGAGGACGTTCTGGATGTCTTGCTTTAAACACCTGCACAAATAGTGGCATGGACATTTGTCATTATAACCAATGTAAGTATTAGAAGTTAAATGTCATACACAAGTTGCTTAACCACACCATCTTTAAAAATTAAAAAAGATGGCAGTTTCCATTGCCATTTTCCTGCTTTTTTCTAACTAGGTAAAGATTGGGAAAGCTTGATAGCTCTTTTGTCATTTCATCAAGTAGGGTTATGCTCTTTCTGAAAATTAACTAATTATTTATATATTTACTCAATCAATCAAACAATTATTCCATTCATCCAACTGATAAACAAACCTCTAGCTGCCGGATGAATGTCATCTCCACATCATACATGATCACAAATAAAGGTTTCAGTTCATACAATGTTCTCTGCAGAAGATATGGATTATGGGGGTTGTGATATGCATGAACTAGTGGTGTCACACGACCCTTCACTTTTGAAGGGGAATTAGCTCTTGTCTCCTCTTCCTTTTCCTCCTTGCCAGCTTGGTTGTTTGCTTCCTTAAGAAGAAAACCAATATAAATTTATTCAATGCATTTCTGAATTGCCCAAGTCAGTAAGAAATAAAAGGAAACAATCTCATATCTGTGTTTAGCTTGTATGTAGGAGATATCTCACTTTGCTCTTGGTCATTTGGGTAAGGGTTAATTCATTTTTATCTCGATTGCTCTCTCCTGTCTCCTCATCTTCTTTCAGAAGAGACTTCCTCTTTCTCCTGGGTCGAAGGACTTCACTGGCCTTCCTCTTTATTGGAGATGTGATAGCTCCTTTTGATGATCCTGCTTTACCATTGTCTTTCATGAGGATCTTTGTATCATACAGTCGATGCAGGACAGCTTCAGCTCCAAAGTTCAGGTACTATATAACAGAAGGATGTGAATAAAATTCCAAGGAGAAATTTGACAAGAAATTAAGACTGCACTTTAATTCATGATACAGCATAAGAAGCTCAGTTCTTCAAAGTGAATGTCCACAATAATAAGCACAGAACAACTGGGTTATATTCTTCAGGTAATACTCATTTGATAGGTAAATAATGGCTGAAGTAATGAGAGATGATCATTTCATCACACCATGCAAAAGTTTATGTATATATCAGAAGAGTCAGAGAAATGTGAACTTTGAGGCAGTGGGAATAGTTTTGGCTACTACAACATTCTACAAACATTCTAACACTAAAGAGCAGATATGAATTCATGACACCCTGGAAGAAAACCTTATGCAAACAATATAATAGCTATTCTAAAATTACAGTGACTGGAGGACTTCAACTAAGAATTGAAAGGGGCAATCAGCATTCAAAAGTGAACAAGTTCATTGCCTTCCCCAGATTTGACAGGTCACTACTTGATATTTCTGGATAGAATGAACCAACTTTTCTCCTTATCTGACAAAGAGCCTGTAAAGGCATGCCCTTTATGATCTGCAACTTCATGCTCTCAAACATTCTCCTTTCTTGCTTCATGGCCTTACCATATAGGTTACTATGATTGCTGGTGGTTCAGATATTTTATTTAAAAATAGATGGAAGAGGTAGGTGATCAGAGGTAAAACTCACTTCTTCTAACTGAAGACAGGTACGTTCATTATCAGCCACTATGAGTACAACAGGGGGTGAGGATTCATCATCCACAGACTTGGCAATGTCATCAAGAACTTCAGTCAAGGAATTCCACTTTCTGGATACTTCAAACTTTGGCCCTTCACCTATTGCATGCATAGGAGGATTTATTCATTTATTCATTCACAAGTTATTCATGAAGAATTTTGTGAATTTTGAAAGCAGTTTCAGAGAAGGACCTGTCAATTACTGATAGTAACTAAACAAGATAAACCAGGAAAGGTCTGGAGAAAGAGTGCATATTTGTAACTTAATTTATTGTCACATGAGAACTATGAGTGACAATTGAAGAACTACACTTGGCAACTAAAGGTTCTGGTGCAAAATAAAATAAACTAAAAAGTGTCAGATATCAAGACTTCCTTGTTCAAAGGGAAGAGCATCAACTGCCTTTTGTGACTGCCTCTAAGATAATAAGTAATATGACAAGAGAAGAGAAAGGGAAGGAGAGGCGAAAAAACTAAATCTTACTGATTTCACTGTCACCTTACAAGAAAGGGTTCAGTCATGGTGGACCTGAGATACATGTATTGGGGGTACAAATAAGTTTTGAGGGATTTACAAAAGATGGCGTAACTAGCAATAAATCGCATCGGACCATCTTGTAACTATATTCATGTTGAAGCGTCATCATTTCCCGCTAAAAATCAGTATGTGTCATGTCGCTGAAGTGTAAACAACATACTTTCTTTGTGCTCTAACCATGTCAACCTTTGTGCCAACAAAACACAATTTGCGGGAAGCGCTGCTTTTTTCCTGGCCGAGCAGCACTTCACTTCTTACGAAGAAGCCAAAAATTGGGTCGATTCTTGGATCGCCTCAAAAGACAAGAAATTTTTTCAACGCGGAATCCGTATGCTGCCTGAAAGATGGGGAAAAGTCGTAGCTAACGATGGACAATACTTTGAATAAAATACATTGTACCAATTTCTCTGAATAAAGCTTCAAAGTTACAAAAAAAACCCTCAAAACTTATTTGTACCCCCAATATAATGTGCAAAAAAACATTGGTGAGCTTACAGACTTTGCTCAAGAAGATGGGGTGGAGTCATCTGACTAAGCATGTGAATTTATGCGAAGGTATGTGAGAGCATGAAGGAAGTTATTTCCACTCTGTTTATATGGGTGAAAGCCTGGGGTGGGGAAATAAGTATGTTGAACACTTTTAAGTGGGTGATTCTAAGAATTCTGTAGAAACTATATGTTCACTGCTAGATGATTTCCCTAGGAGCATCCATTTTCCTGTAATGCAAGCCCAGCTATAAATGGAAAAGGGCAAATTCTATTTAGAAAAAGGAGCAAAAACCAAATTTCTGGAGGCACTACAATAGTAGTGCTTGGCCATCATTAAAATTTTTTTTTAAGGTAATGAGAAGAATGGTCATACTACGCAGGACCTTTATGTCCATCTAGAGCAGGGGTACAACTCAAAAGACTGTGCAGGCCATTTGAGATTTTTACTAACATGCTGTGAGCCATACAGATGCCAGACCACCCACCTTCTGGTAGTCTGGCTGACCATAGCTGTGGCCAACAGGGCAGGAGCCACAGTAGCACTTTCAATCCCACCAGTTAGGGGGGAGAGGGGCCACAGGCTGTATGTTGTGCCCCCCTGATCTATAGCAATGGTACACAAAATTTCTTTAAAATCTTGAGTCAATGAGGCTCCATAAGGATCAGAAAGCGTTCCATTTTCTTTGTACTCATCCTTGCATATGTAAATGGTCACAACCCACTCAAGCATAGCTGAATTGATACTGGTTTGCAATACAGAAGTATAAATATATAAACAAGGTGTGTTTTTTAAGGTATGGGAATTCAAGCATTACTATGCTGCTCATGCAATCTGTGCATGTAAACCAAAACCTGACCCCTAACATGAGTTCTTTCTATTAGATGGTGATCAATATTTGCACATGGTGACCATTATTTGCAACCTGAAGAAATAGGCCAACCTTACCCTCAGTGCCTGATGGCTTGATACGCTGTGTAGCTTCAAGGAAGAGAGTTTCAGCAGCATCAAGCAGCATCCAGCCTGATGAGCGCAGAGCTTGCTCTGTTGTTCTCAAGGAGCTGACTAGGCTATAAAATGTCACACAATCTGCCTGTGTGAGGCATCTGGAATATATAGAAGCAGGCATCCAGAATATATAAAAGCATTAATTCTGAGATATGGATTTTAGAATTAGAAAAGGAAGAAACACTACTCACAGGAGTATATTACGGAGAGTATTAAGATCAGCTATGAGTTGCTTTGTCTTCCCACTAAGCTGATGCCAGACAGGATCTAGCTCTCTTTGCAGCAGTTTTGAAAATGACTGGACCAAGGAACATTCCACATTTACAGCTTCCAGATCCAACTGGAAAATAAAAACAAGAATTTTCATGGAGGATACATCAATTTTTAAAAATCAGAGGTGCCTTGGTAATGGTATTTCCTTTTTAACCCTTTCCCTGGCACAGGTGTATTTTTACATCCATTGGTACACAAACCTTCCCTGGCAGGGACATATTTTTACGTCCAGTGTGGCTCAGACTTTACCTGGCATGGGTGTGCTTTGGGGTCTTGTTCAGGACTCTATTCTGGATGCTCTTGCCATCTAATGGAAAAGTTCTCAACCAAGAGAATTTGGCAATAGATCAATAAATAGTCTATCTTGATCTCAGGCAGATATATTGGATAGAGATTTTCACTGTCAACAAAAAAAGGAACTTTTTTGCTATCCTCCCCAATATGGCATCTGTGAAAAGAGTTCGCGAGGTAACAGAGGAAGACATTTTCAGAGAAGTAGCAGCGAATAGTGATAGCACGATAGCGACAACAATGATATGATCCCCAAGATCTTTGAGGATGAGGAAATAGAACTTTGTAGCCCATTGCAGGTGATTGATGAAAGTGACAGTGATAGTGTGATCAGTCAGATGTGGCAGCAACGCCAGGACCATGTACTTAATGAACATGACAAGACATAGTCCCTATCATTGGAGATTGTAGAGGTGACCAATGGGATGAACCAATCCCACAAGTCAATGGTCCTGTTTTGTGGCTAAAAATTTTTTTGACTGTGGAACTAGTTAAACTCATTCTGATGGGAGACGAACTAGTATGGTAGACAGAACCTGTGAAACCATCAGCTGTCTCCCTCGTCTAGAGACAGAAATTACAGAGAAGTGGATGAATATGAAATGTTGACACTTGCCATTGTCTTCATAACAGGCATAGATAAATGCCCTGAAGTTGAGGACTACTTGTCTACTTGGGAAATGTTTTACACTCTGTGATATGGACAACAGATGTTGCTTAGACAATTTCAGCATATTTTCTAAGCTTCTGCACTTTGCACACAACTGTGCATTGTTGTGCTTACATGCTTTAGCACTTATCACACAAAGAAAAATTTATGAGTGCTTCTTTGGTATCAAAGTGAAGTGTTATCAATGTAAAGTAGAATTACTCCTCTATGAATGGTGAAATTTTCAATTTGATTTTGGTTTGCATGCAGAAAAATAAAATGTAAAGGCATACGTTTCTGGAACATTTGTGGGGAAAAGGTCTGGCAGGACTATGTAAAATTTGACATCCACATGCACCAGGGAAAGGGTTAAACTGTTTTACTCTCTGAGTGCAAGCACCACATGGACACCTCAAAATGTGATATTTTCAGTAAAGGAAGCTGATAGAAGTTATCTCTACATGATAAATTCATGAATATGAATCAACAATCACAATAAAACTTTCACTGGTAGGCTACACATAACCATGCAATCAGGTCTGAGAGCACCCAATCCTTGGTTCTGGCATGCATGCTCAGCATATTTTTCCCAGAAACATGGCATTAAAAAGAATATCTACTAACTTCAGAAGTAAAATTTTCTAAGAATTTGCTATTCAAGACTTTCAGAAGACAACTGAACAAAGCTTCTTGATCATGTAAAATGGAGGAAATGAGTTCCAGGAGAATGAATGGATCAGAGAACAGGCACAGAAAGGGAGCAATATTTCCAATACTCACAGATGGATTGCACCTTTTAAATTCTTTGATGGTTTCACTGATGAGATCAAGTACAGCAGACTGGATTGCCAGCATTGACTCAGTCATATGGAGCTGGACCTCAATGACCTCTGGCTTCATGAAAGAAAAAGAAAAGTGAAAGAAAAGCAGAGCATAATTAGTCCCCCATCAAATACATCAGAATGAAAAGGCCAACTCCAAGGCATACCTGGTGCTTCTCCAGACTGGCCTTGACAGTTGCATGGAACCGTGGCCACAGGAGAAGCTTTCCAACAAACAAATTCCGCATGACCCGTGCCACATGACAAAACCCAGTTGTGAAAGACACTGGACTAGCAGAGAATGCTTTCACAAATCCTATCTGATTTACATAAAAGAACATTGAGAAGAGCAGAATTTAAAAGATTCATTGATTGTTTCCTCAATATGCTACACAGATGTAAGGCACTAACTTTGTTTTTTTGCTTATATAGACGTAGAATGAAGGCTTCTTGACAAGCCTCCATTATCCTGTGAGCACGGTAGACAAGGATACCAGTCACTAGTTCAATAGGAACCCTTTCTGTAAGCATGTCGACTACTAGAATTCGAGATGTGACGAACAGCACTCCACCTTGCATGTACACCAAATTCCTAAACAGCACAATAACTTCAAATATCTCTCAATAGGCATTTCTCATTATAATATATTCAATGACTCTGGCACCTATCATTTGTAGAGACCTCAGCAGTAATCACTTTGGGAAGAGGTTTCACTCCGAGGAAGTCCAATTCAGAAATGAAATATTCTTCATCTGCAGGAGTGGTTCCAAGCACAAGGACCAGATGGGAAGAATCACAGTGAAGACGCAGAAGATTCAAAAATACCTTTTCAATCCCAAGGCCCCTGAATAAGGAGATATTTTGCAACCATGAAAACCTGTGAGAACCAGCCAACTCACTTGTTGGCAAAGAACATCACATGAGGATATGCAAGCAGCAGTTTAAATGACAATACTTGACAAAAGGTTGTTCATGAAGACCATAAAGTTTTCAAAAGTTCTTATTCCTTATTAGCTTTAATATACAGACATAACTGAGAAATGACATGCTTCAGAATCATACATTGATTTGCATGTTCTCTTTTGAAGGAATTGAAGGCAGGCAATGAACAAGAACATTTTTGGGGAAAAGAGCACAGTGGTTCACAGATGACAAACTGAATATTTTACCTGTAATATGAGAGTTCTAACAGGTATTTAACAAGAACCAACCTTTAATAAATTCCATCTGATTGCAATGCTTTCTAATAGAAAATTTAACATTGGTAAAGTAAAGCAGCCAGATTGTCCATCAGTTTTCAAAGAGTTTCAAGAATAGAATATTTAGAGTATTTGTAATGCTTTGACAACATGAAACCTTATCACATTCCTGAAATGGATACTCACTTTGCAGCGATGACCATGGCATCTTCATTTAGAATATCAAGGAATATTTGGTTCTCATACTCCAGCATTGCTGGAGGGGTATGATGCACTAAATCAGTGTCTTCTCCCATCTTAATCACACAATATATGCAAGTGTTTCTTCTTGATTCACAAGATCAGAACATCCAAAACAATTTCAATCACATTTAGCAGGAGAGTCCAAATGAAGTTCATATCATCTCCCTGAGAAAGAGAAAAAAAAAAACATTAACAGCAAGTATGAACAAATAGGAACACATGTCAAAAGAGTAAAAGAATACAAACCTCTTCAGCTTTTGGTTCAGTCTCTCTTTCAGTGGGCTGAGGATCTTCAACTTCCTCAAAAAAATCAAAATCCTTTGCACGAAGGAAGACTATGTCCAAGGCATATATTGTGGATTCATGAAATGGATGTCCATAAACTGCAATTCCAATAGGTCTCTGAAACCTATGAAAAGCATGCAAAGCATGCCAAACTTACTTCCTTAGCTTGTGAACTAAGAACTGGCCAGAAGATCACAAATACAAAGCACTATGACCTTCATGCACACCCATCTATACAATGAATCAGGGCTACACAACTTGTATCTCAGAACAGTCAAATGCACCCTGAAGAAACAGAATCTTAGATTGGACATGGCTTCTTTGATGTGATCAAGAAGTACTCATTCCTAAAATAACAACTTAAAAATATTATCAACAGCTGCCATGATTTATGATTTTAAAGTAAGGTACTTTTTTCAATAAGGTTTTTTTTTTTTTCAAAATAAGGTACATGCACTTTCTGAAACTCTCCACTTCATCAAGACAAATGGTGTTGGGGAAATGCTGAATTCACATGATGTCATACTTCAAGGATCCACATCTATATTACCACAGCACACCATGTGCAAAGCAACATGGCTCATAATATACCTCTGGGTTCTGCTTCTCATTACAAGCTTGATATGAATCAATAAGAAGTGAGCAGATACTTCTCAAGATCATCCCACTCAAACAAAGAATTCAAAATATGACAACAATCATCAGAGATCACATGAGTCATACACTAAGGATGAGAATAACCATTTAGTAGGAAAGGTCAGGAAACAGATGACAAAGCAGCCTCAAATTAACCCTGTCTCAGTTAAGTAAAACCTTTTTTTTTCTCTTGCCTCGCCTTGAGGGTTGGGGAAGGAGGGGGAAAAAAAAGGTTTTCCTTAACCGAGACAGGGTTATTTGAATTAATTGGGTTAATCAAAATATAACAAGAGAAAAATCTAGTGCTCCATTTGACTTTATCTTCCTCAACTTTCACTGTTTCTGTACGCCTCACTACTCAAGTATAGTCACTTGTCTATATTTTTTCACTTTCAAGATAGCAATATTCAAAGCTATTTTCAAAGCTATATTCAACTATATTGTCAAGGGCAACAGGGACAAGGTTGCAAGTTAGATAAATTCAAGAAACACTGGATGAGGCAATGTGACCTCTTTTCCCATTACTCAACTTATTTATACTATCTTAACCTTTTTATCTGATTGGAAAGAAAGTTCTCGGAATTTCTTGAGAAGTATCTGCTCACTTCTTATTGATTCATATCAAGCTTGTAATGAGAAGCAGAACCCAGAGGTATATTATGAGCCATGTTGCTTTGCACATGGTGTGCTGTGGTAATATAGATGTGGATCCTTGAAGTATGACATCATGTGAATTCAGCATTTCCCCAACACCATTTGTCTTGATGAAGTGGAGAGTTTCAGAAAGTGCATGTACCTTATTTTGAAAAAAAAAAAAACCTTATTGAAAAAAGTACCTTACTTTAAAATCATNGAAAGAGAACCCCGTCAGGAGTTGCACCCCAAAAAGATTATGCTCTCGGTCTTCTGGGATTCGAAAGGCATCATCATGTTTGAGCTGTTGCTGCAAAACACCACCATCACTGCTGCCTACTACTGCCAGCAACTTGATCGGCTGCAGCAGAAACTGGCTGAAACACGCCCAGAAAGACAGAGAACCATCCTCCTCCACGACGATGCCCGGCCGCACACCGCTAGACAGACTCATCTAAAGTTACTGGACCTGTGCTGGGAGGTGCTGCCGCATCCCCCTACAGCCCCGACCTTGCCCCGTCCGATTATCACCTTTTCGTTGCCCTGGACCGTCACATGGGTGGAAAGCAGTACGCCAACCAAGACGACCTGAAAACCGATTTGGCCAACTTTTTCGTAGCGCAGCCGCCAGAGTTCTATTGGAATGGCATCCATCGTTTGCATAAACGTTGGCGTGAAGTGATAGAGGCCAATGGTGATTACATTCATGATTGAGATGATTTTGCTTTTAAATAAACTGGGTTGTAATAATTGTTCATGAAATTCCGAGAACTTTCTTTCCAATCAGATAGTGCAGCGTGGCCAATTTTTCAGTCACATCTACTACTTCCAAAAATGCTGTAGGCTGATTTTTATGGCATCTAACAAGAACCCCAACTATGCAAAGGAAGAAACCTAATGAAAAGCTGTAGCCAAAAAAAACAGGCCATTGACAGAAGCAGAAGTACATGTGGCCAAAAAAATTTTTCCACTGCACTAAAAGGCCTCATTCTTCTCATAATGTTCCCAATATCCATAAAAAGATGATCCATGACTGGACCATGCCTAGCTTGTATTGCCTCTGATGTCTTTGTCTCTCAAAATGAGTGACACTATTATACAGCAAATTACTGCCAAGTATACTTTCATTTGACATATCCATGTATCACCAAAACTCTATCAACTTGAAAACTACCCCAGGAACCTTGAGAAAACATAAAACCATGATATGAGAAAGGGGGGATAGAAAATCCAAGAGGCCTTTGTCTGATTTGATGCATGCTTAAGCCTGACCAAAGCAGGATGACAACATGAGTGCAAGGTCCCAATCAAAATGAGGACTTAGCAGAGTCCAACTTTTATAAATATTTCTTTTTTGTGCAAAAAAAGCCACCACCATTCTTACCAGCTTGGGATTTCAACTTCATCTACACCATATGATGCAGCTGACAAACAGTATTCCTCAGGCATAAATGTTGGCTTGGAGATATACTGAGATATGTAGAGATCTGCATCACCTTCACTGAAAAGTGTATAGTGAAATGGAGAATATAGACAAAGAAAAAAGTTGAGCCAAGAGTGAATTCAGATTGTCTTCATATATACTTTGATTTGTTTCTAGTCTTACATGGAAATGTCCATTGAAAACCCAAACATACCCATCAGCAAAGTACAAAGTAAAAAGGCAATCCAAATTCACAATAGGAGCATTCCATTCTATGCTGTGTCATGCTAATAGAGAAGAGAATGCATACATGGATTGAAGGACGAGTCGGTAAGTGCCAGGGACATTCAAAGAATAGTATGTAAAATTTCCAGCACCAAGTTCACCATAGACCCTCTGTGTATCTTGAACTGAAGAGAGTACTGGTAGGACAACACACTAAAAAACATGATCATGCATAAGTCAATGAGGAAGGCAAAGCAAGTTTACTCCCTCCAGAATATGTATTTATCCTCACCAATGTCACATAGATGAAAACAAGCTCAGGGCAGGGCATATTCCAAGCACATGTTATTGAAAACTTGTGTTCACTCACTATCAAAACACAGAGTTTGTTTCTTTACCATATGCATCCACCATCATGCCCTTTTCCAATGCCCATTTGTATATGGACCCTTCAAGGTTATATGCCTGAAAATGTTGCAACTCTTGCTTAGTTTTTTGAATGAGTTGAACACGAGATACAAATTGAGATGACCTGTAGCCCACTGCACAATAACAAATCAGAGCCTCTTTACCCTCACATTTACTTTCCAGTAGCTGAACTAGCTCATCATCTCCAATGGAGGGATGTACATGCACAGCTCCTGGAATATGGCTGACACTGTATTCTCTCAACTCTCTTGTATCAACAAGGAAAAATTTTCCTTGATTCAAAATTATGTCACCTTCTACCACAGGCTCTTTGCTTCTCAGGAGATTCTGCACAGTTGAAGTCTGAACTGATGGAACATGTGGAAATGCTGCTTTTACTCTTCTGATTATTATCTCAAGGACTTTCCTCTCAATCATTCCTCTGGCAACCTACAACAGCCAATATGAGTGAAAGCAAGGTTCCTAAAAATGAGAATACCATTTAATATGAATATTAGATTTAATATGAATATTGAGTGTATTTTACCTTACCATTACCATTTCTGGTGAAAAAGTAAAGACTCTCCCCTTCCTTTCTCAAAGCCTCATGTTGTCAAAATGTTGCATCCAAAATATCACTCATGTATTTTCTCCTGAAGACCTTCATTTCATTTTCTTTCAATGTCAGAAGTACTGCAAAAGGAAAGATTTACTTTCAATGGTCAAAAACCTTCACTTTATGAATTGTCTTAAATCATGTAATCACATCATAAAGTAATGAAAAAACCCTCTGATGACAACTTTAGCGTAGCAGCAATACCTGGTTCTCAATGTGTTAATCATTTCACATCCATCCAAGACCAGACAGGTACTGAAATACAGGATTACACTGTAATACAGAGGGAAATTTAAAAAATATATATTGATTTATGGTGAGTCTAACCGATTGCTGCCTCCCCCCCCCCCCCCCTCCCAACAAAACTGGCCAGAGTTAAGTATTGGAATAAAGAACTACAGTATTTCATTCCTTTATCTATCAAAAGTTTTACCTGTGAAAGGGGCAGCAATTTTTGACACCATAAATAGCCCAAATGCAGACATGCTTCAATGCCACTCAACCCCAGAGCTGCAGAATAATACCTGCCCATACTCCTTCAATTTGGGTCCTCCAGAAAAATTTGAAATGGGATCAACTTTGTACATTTTTGGAAGCACTCTGTACTCCCCACACATGATGCAAACCATAGCTGGCAACCCAAATTCAGTGTATTAAAAGGATTCCTTGTAGTGGAATAGGGCTCTTTTTTCCTATTTGGACAACTCATGTGAATAGTGCATTAATTTCACAAAAGGAGGGTAATTCATGCACACAAACAGATCCTGTCTTCAAAAGCCTCATAAATCAGAAGTACTAGTATCACTATTTGATAAAACAGCCTGTTCCAAATCTAAGTCACAGTTGCATCCTACACATGGAAATGCTACTCCACTTAAATCAAAATGTAAGGTTACATTTTTAATATGGTATGTAATTCAGAACAAAGTGAGGCATATGTGTGAACACCCATTCATTTCTCGTGACTCAACAGAAACATCCTTCCATACAAATTGACTCACATGTAATGCTCCCAATTCTTGAGATCTGAGATCACAACTTCAGAAGAAAATCCTGAAGCATGGTAGGACATGATTGGTAAAAATGAGAAGGAGGTTGGTTTTTTGTCAAGAATTTTATTACAAGAAATGCAAAGATAAAAACCCATAGTTGGTCAAATTCCTAGACATGTACTATCATTATATTTTCACTCATTGAACACAGGATTTTGGCAATGACAGACCTCAAAAGGTCTCATCACAAAACTTCAAATAGAACTTCAGGCTCATGCAAATATATGACTGCCATATACATATGTATTTGCCATAGCATGACCTGTGGGTGCATTGGGCCAGCTCTACCATTTTTTACTAGTTGTTGACCTTGAGGCACATGAAGGCACAATGGGCAAAAAAAAAAGAGGCAATGGATAGAAAATCCTTGTCAGTCAGGATGAAGAAGGGAAATGGCACAATCCTCTAATGCTTTCTATCTACCTACTAATGAAGGTTATGAAGGTTAGTACTGATGATTTCAGAACATCTCATTGTAAATCTTTCAAGAGAACTTACAAAGTAAAACAAAGCCCAGAATAACCAGTGCTAGTGCTTGGGGCCCTACATCCCTGTCACCACCAAATGTAAGTAGCCATTCTTCTATTCGACTCACTGTTTGTCTAATCTACTTTGAGCACAAGAATTTTTATACTGCTACCTAATTGAAATTATACACTCTCATAGTGGAAAGAGCAGAAAACAATATTTCCAGACAATTGACAAGATGTGAAGCTTGAAATAATTTACCTGGAAATACAGGAGATCATTCTAAAATCACTGCAGCACAAATAGTTTTCAGCACATTAATCCAAATTCACTGTTCATCTCCATATGCTACTCCGTACTCCACCATATATTCCAAAAAGTGAATTACTAACATGTTTCAAGTAATTAATAAAGAGTAAGCCAAACTGGAAATGAACTGGTTTTGAACCACCAACCACCAAGTCACCAAATCTGAACCACATGGTCAAAACAAGGCAACTTGTGTCTGATAATTCCCATCTGTAGAAGTTAGATCACAATCTTGTGAATCTGAGAACAAGAATGTAAAGGTGGAACCTATGCAGGAGAAGAAATGGAAACAGCTCATACAGTTAACTCTGCTTAATAGAATATTTTGCTTAACATAGAAAAAATAATAGGACAGAATTAGGATTAAATTAATGGAATGGAATAGCTTAATAGGATAGAATCGCTTGGGACTGCACAATCGTATTCTATTAAGCAAAATGTTCGATTCTAATATGCAAAGTCAACCGTACTATTAATACAATGTGCAAAATGCCTCAGTGATTCTCAATCAATTGCATTCACCATCCAAATCAACCATAAATTACTGGAAAGCCAAATGAATCAATGAGTGAGGAATCCTGAGGTAGTACTTGAGGACCTTCACCAATGCGCGTTGAGATGATCATTTCCACTGGAATTGGTTTAGGTGATTGAGCACTGGGAATCTTTGATAACAATTCATCAGAGGGATATTTCCGACTTACAGGAATGCCTTTCCAGGTCCCATTTTTCATCACTCCAGAAAAATATTCCAAGAGACCCATGAAATCAGAGGATATAGATTCCTGCATCATGAGGCAAGGGTTTGGTCCTGCATCAAACGTATAAGCAACAACAGTTTGACCAATAGCTGAATTGTACTCATGTACAATCTGGCAAACAGCATGAGATGCATCATTCATGTACATGAGGGGAGGATAGCTATCCAAGCACACAGCATGCATTTCATTACTATCCTGCATGACAAGCTTTGCAAATTGTTCAAAGTTTTTCCTTTTGATTGCTTCAATGAGATCTTCTTTCCGACCTCCAACAGACAGCAATCGCTGTCTCAGCAGACCACTTGTTTCGCGGCAACGTAGCATGCCTTGGGAACTGCCAACACTTTTCTGTGATGACGAGATCACAACAAGAAATACTCTTAGGTCTTCCCAATGGGTGTGTGAAAAAAGCTGTACAGAGGAAGAATCACTACCATCCTCTTTTTTACCCATATTCCACAGCACAAAACCTCCTTCCAAGCTACGACAAGCACTTCCAGAACCAGTACGAGCAATGACAGATAAATTTTCCTCATCAAGTCCATAAAGCTTTGCCAAAGCAAATGTCAGACTGGCATACCCTGATGCAGATGAGGCTAATCCAGCCTTTGTTGGGAAGTTATTGGTTGAAACAATATGGAGATGCCACCCAAATATACCGGGAATGTTTTCTCCACATTTTTCCTTCACGAAATTTCTTATCCCTGAGATGATGTTTTGAAGTCTAGGTGAACTTACATCTTCTTCTCTCCCATTCAACCAGAGGCAAGTGGTGGGAAAATCTGGACTGGCTTGAATTGTTGTCACAGTTCGTAAATCATCTTGTGCAAGAGTAATACTCAAAGAGTCATTTAGAGGAAGAAGGAGCTTGTCATTTCTCTTGCCCCAGTATTTGATGAGAGCAATATTAACTGGTGCAGAAACTGTGACTGTCTTTTCCATAATTAGTACCACTGCACCAGTAAATAAGTTCCTGGAAGAGTAAAGAGCTAATTCTAATACCTTACCCATAGCCTGCAACTAAAATACACTTAAATCAGTATTGGTATGCATGCATGTCAGACCTGTCCAGAGTTGCCTGAGAACTACTGGAGACAGTCCTGTATTAGTCATTAAAATATTACTACTATTAGCTTCAATTGTATAATTTTGAAGATCATAAATGAGTTTCCTTGAGTCACTCTCAAGCACAAATGGAATTTTAAACCAAGAGAAAATATAAAAAAGACAAGGGGGCTTTGATGATGAAGATCACTTTAGATGTGAGTCACTAAATTGCTTATAAAACATTCAGTTACAAAACAAAGTAAAACCCCTTCTACACAAGGGCATAAGGTTTCACTTAGGCAAAAAATCCAGTGACAGGTTGTACTTGCCCAACTGCCCCAAAAGAGCAGTGAGAAATTCCAAGATGAAGTATGGTGCAATTCTAGTCCCTGGAGTAATTGATGAATGATATCATTTTTAACACTGAAGGAATTGTACTTATACAGGGTGTTCGTATTTAAACGCAACATAGGGAATATTTTACTGCCTGGAGGTGAAGGGTGGCAAACACTATGAGGCCTACCAGGTTGCCTATTGCCAAGGAAACACAACAGGGATAGGCTTCATCCTTGCAGATATGCAACCTGGTGAGCGGTAAGGCACGCACTGAACTCCACAAACAGGTGGCAAAAATTTACCTATGTTGCGTTTAAATACAAACACCCTGTATATTGTTACCACTTGGGTGAAACTCGTTGATATGATGGAAATACAAATCTGAAGACTGAATAGGACTACTAAAGAAGATGCCAGCATGGGTTCTCCCATGCCAAGTAATGATCTCAAGTCAGCAAAGGTATGAAGAGAAGATGTCATTTGTTCATACTTGAACGATATTCCAAGCAGAACATAAAACAAATATATGCAATCTTTGTGCTTAAAAACCAACTTTCAAAGCATGCCATATCCAACACTTTTCTGTTGAATCCAAAATGGTCAAAAAATAGTTTTGCTCTTTTCCCATACTCTAATCATAAGATGACTTACATCAATTCCAGTCTTCTTCATCTATTGAACAAAGTATAAATTTGATGGATTCCCATATATCACATAAATGTGAGTACTACAGCCTCAAATTCACAAGCTGTCTGACATTTTCCTTCAAAACCTAAGCTGTAACATGTTGCACTTGCATTACACCGCCTTGAAAAAAATGAACAAAATGTGCACAAAACTCATGCTGTTTTTGGAACAAAAATTTTTAAATGACAAAGCATTTACAGTGTTTCAATATTTCTATGTAATCCTGATATTAGACATGAATCATGAAGTGCTCCTAACTTAGACTGACTGTAGCTACCTTCAGATGAACTCAGCTCCCCAGGTCTTTCACACAAATCTGAATAAATTGTATATAATATATGCAAAAGATGAATTTAAAAAACTACAGTTATAGTTGCCTACAGTTGTGAAAATTGGTTTTAGGCCACAGGACTCTCCATCTCTGCTAGGTTATGATTTCATTGTTTTAAATTTTCTGAACCAAAATTTATTGACCTATCTTGGCAAAGAATCAGAGTTCAACTCTGACAACTGAGACCTGCCCTCAGTTGTGCAATCCACTACAATGATTCCTGGAAAAATAATTGCAAGACTTAAGATACTGATTCTTTAATAAATTATGTTTTATTATTCATATATGCAAAGGGACCATGATGGAAAAGTGTATAAAAATATAGATTCCAAGGAGGTTAATATCAGTCTAGAGTGCAGATCTCAGTCTTAAGTACATATGAGTTAATAGCATAATGAATGAAAAAGAATGTCTTGCCTTGCTATCATTCCTTGGTTATTTCCATTTCCAAAGTTGTCTGTCCAGCAGGACAGCTGCAGTCAGACTATAGGGATGTACATATCTGGTAGGTGAACCATTCACATCAACAAGTGGTTTACCTTCATTTGCCCATTTGAATATTGAACCACTCAGATTGAAGGCTTGTATCTCTTTATCAGTAAAAGCCAACAACGTCTGAATTCGATCAACCAACTGTGATGAACGATAACCAATAGAACAATAACATATAATTTTCTTGCATCCTTCACAATTTTCTAAAACCTTTGCCTTCAATTCATCATCAGATATTGATGGACTCACATGCATAGCTCCTGGAATATGACTTATATTAAACTCCCCCACCTCACGAACATCATACAGGATAGGAATATCAATTTGGCCTTGTAAAAATTGAAGAAGATCATGTGTCTCACAAATCTCCACCCTTGGGAAGGCTCTTGCAATACCCCGAATGCAAAGATTCATTTTTCTTCTTCACCAATTTCACAGTGAATAGGAACATTCAGTCAGTCATGAAAGGTGAGATGATCATAGCTTGATAGGCTTTGAAGATAAATGCACAACACTATGTGTCCTGTTTGGCTGCTCTTTTAGTGGAAAAGCGCTTCAACATTCCACAATAAGAACAAAACCACACCAGATGTTTCTTCCTTTTGCCTCTAGTCCTCACCCGAGCAGTGATACCAGGGATGAGAAGGATATTGCAACCCTTGCAAACAGTCCTCTTCAAATCTTTGTCAAGTTTGAGGAGGGACTTTCTGGCAATAGAAAAGGCATCTCTCAAATAAAAAGTGCACAGAGTTTCATCACCTGCTTCCAGGAGAGCGGCATGAGATGCTTGATAAAGAAAATTTATACGAGAGAAATTATCCATTCTGACTACACCTCTCAGCAAACAGAAAAAGCACCTCAATAGCCCAATCCCTGACATGCAAAGAAATAATCAAGGTTATGAAAGACAAAAATTCATTGCACTAAGGAGAGACATCAGAAATAGCCTAATATTAGGAGAAGAAAAGCTTTTCCTTATAATGTTTACATAAAGGGTGACTCAGAAAAGGCTTAACTTGAGTAGCGCTACAACTTTTTATTCTGAAAATTCATTACTGGAAATAATTCCACTTTCCCTCGATAGGGAGTTCTCATGAGCAACCAATAAAAGTACATTCGTCATGGGACTCTACCCTTCAGCCCATAGTTTTCCTTAATCTTTTGGAGAGCAAGAAAATGTGGATATTTTGCTAAGTCAACCCTTTCTCTCTCTGTCTGGGGTTTCGCATGCTCACCGTGTCAGCCTCCTTCTGGATGAATTATGCCTAACATTAGACGTATAGGTCCTTGCTCACGATGTGAGCCACTCCCTCGAGCAAGAGGGGACAGGACAGAATCCCAATCATGAACTTTGGGATCAGGGTCCCTTCTTATAACGAGCGGGAGTGCGTGGAACGCTTGGAAACTGTCTCATAGTAACGATCCCGAGTGTTCTTACGTCTTTGCCGGTAGGCCATAGGCCTTCATGAAGTCGCCGAGATTTGCTATAGTAAGCATAACGAACTACATCCAAAAAAGTTGCAAGGAATGGCCTATGCCATAGACGCAGTTTCAGTTTAGACTAAAGAAAACATATGCATGCATGGCACAGAGTTTTACAGGCCATCTCCTGCAACCTAGGCTAACGCGGTGTGACAAAGCCCACCTGAGCCTACACCGATAATTTACGCTCGTCAGTCACACGCCACTCCCACTGAGCGCCGCCATCTTGTCCGGAATGCCTCTCAGTCCCGACCGGTTCGGGTCGGGTCGCAAGGTCCAAAGTTCAAGTTTGTAAATGGAAGTCACGAGGTATTTTGACCCATACTAGTCTCGAGTCAAGGTCGAACGCATATAGAATTTATAGTCCTTACCCTCTTAAAAATATATCTTTTTCTCGTCGTGTGCTGCAGTCACTTCATCGTCGCTCTACCATTCTACGCATCACTATCCTAAAATATATATCATTCTGCGTCTTGATTTGGTTCCGCCTCGTCCCGCTGCTGCCTTTACCAAGAGGAAAAATTTACCATACTCCACGGTGTCTATTCCCCTAATGAACGATTCTCGGATGAGGTCTACCCACGTTGACCTCACCTCGAGAGAGCACTGTTCCGACGCTGCCAAATGTCTCTTGTGAAGATCTCATGCTTCACTTATAGTTTTCTTTAGCCTGCTCTTGAGCCCTTCCCTGTACTAGTAGACCACTTTTATTTCGTAAAGATGACCGGGTCGCATATCACCGATGAGGGTGAGTTTCACGGAATGATAGCTGAATGATAGCTGGCGCTTATATGATTTTCTCTAATTAACCGATTGAGTTATTCAATGAAATACATCAGAATCGACTTGAACGAGGTTTAGGTGCGATGCGCTTGAAACCTCTGACACTGAAGCAGATATCCAGTGCTTACCCGCGATATGAAAACGTATCCATTCTCAAAATGACGACATCAAATCGAAATAAATACCCACTCCCGGCACCCTTAGGATAGAGCTGGACGCCGCCTTAGAAGTAATACTTTTCTCTATACGATATTGCTCGAGTGGGATTTAGCGACCTCACTCTGTTGTCCCGCCTCCCTGACTCTTCAGCCAAAATACGCCTTTGGGTTTCTATTTTTCCCTCTAGACCAGACGAAAGACACGTTCCGAGGACAAGGAGCTGGCCTGTCGTTTGCGTCACGGATCCCCTGGGGCTGCAGAATGCAAATAAAAGCCAAGGTTGGTCAAGGACGCCTAGGTACTGGCTAAGGACGTCATGGTACCAGCCCAGCCACACGTTATCCCGCTGCAGGGGGTCAAGTTCCCGGAGTTCCATAGAAGGTATAAAAGGAAAGATAATAAGGAACATCGGAAGAGATTCTCTTCCCTTCAGGACCTCTGAGTTTTTTCTCTCTTATCCTTCCACACACCTGACCCGAGCTTGATACATCCCTGTTGACACTCTCGTGTTCCCCGAGCTTTACTTCCCCGCACCCTGGGAGAGTCACGTATGCAAGAAACTCGTGAGCCTGTGTGGGAACATCGCAGCATTAAAGGTAATCAAAATGTTTCTTTGATGCATGGATTCTCTCCGACGCGGTTTCCGTACTGCGTAGAATCAGTTACGTTTTTTAAGCTCACGAGCCGTGGGAGGGAGGTGGGGGGGAAGGGGGTTTGTAATGATTGCAGAAAGGGAGCTACCTAGAGGTGCTGAGCGAAGATTCTCGAAGGCAGTGACGTCGGGAAGGAGGGGTTAAGGGGGTTAGAACCCCCCCCTTGGGCTTCCCGGTCAATGACACTGACAGCCATATTTCAACCTTCCTTGGGAATTCCAATTTTAGCTATGCCCCTTCGAGGAAAGTCTGATGTCCGTCCACAGACCCATGATGCCAGACCATGATTTCTTTGAAAAGGTAAATTCCGGGTAGTGGAGCTAGGCGTGGGGTTGAAGTGTCTACCTGGCCTCAACCCCCCCCCCCCCCCTTGCCGATTTCCTGCCTACACCACTGCTCGAAGGGAAGGGGGGGGGGGGGGGAATCCTCGGAGAGAGGTGTTAAGGACTTTTAAGGGCTGCCTCTCCCCCCATGATATACGCCACTGTTTAGCGGTGCCCAGTTGGGGGGGGGGGGGGGGGGGGGGGGGGGGGGGGGGGGGAACTATTGCAAGGATTCTGAACAATCGATTTCGTTCATATTTTCCCCGACTTGTGTTCGATGTGATGTTCTGGACGCTTCTTGATCTTTCTCGATTTTCGCCTGCAGCCATGACTTGCATCTGTGCACAAGGGCGCAGCTCCTCCCCCGTCCCGCTCCATCTCGCCAGAGCTGTCTACGCAGGCCGATCCGAACGAGCGAAGCGGCATTCCTGCACGGGGATTGCAAGCTGGTGCGTGCTTCCTGCGTCATGGGCTATGGGTGGGGTTGCGTCACGGCACCATTGTTATCTTCTTAGAAAAAAAATTAGATTAAAAAAATACAAAATACATGTGCAGAAGAGAAAGCAAAAAGCAAAAGCAATGCGAGCTGCCTGAGACGCCCTCTGAAAAGCATATCCTGCTGGACTGCGATAGCGCAGATGAAATGGCAAGACCCTTTGCCCTTCGCCAAGCACCTGACTCGGGAGCTTTTTGGGGGTCAAAAGGGATTTCCTAAAGTAATAATTTCTCCGGCTGTTTATGCAAGTTCTTGAGTCAATGTTGCACACTTGAGTTTAGAAAAGGCGCCCATTCATACAATTATGCAAAACGAAACTTGGTGGTTCGGCTTCCCCCCCCCCCCCATTCCCCGCCCCCCTAAAAAAAAAAACCAACTCTTTAAACTCCGAATTTGGATGAGGACTTGGCATGAAAATAGGTGAGTTAACTTTTCGTACTCAATTACCCGAGAATTCTGCGCAAAAAATTTGGAACGACATGCAAATGTGCTGTCCTGACAATTAGAAACTCACACAGGGGAAATGAATTCGGTATCTGGTTCGAATCTGGACCATTTTCGTCTCGACTAGCCCGGCCTTACTCATGTGATTATCCTCTCCTCGTTGATTTTCAATCGCATTTACAATCAGATCGCCCGTCATCCGGGTCACAGATACAATCACAGAGTAAGCATCCGGTAAAGTCAGATCAGGAATCAGGTTCCGCGAAAAGAGTAATGCAGGTCGTCCTACGACCAGTGGCGGATACAGAGAGTATTCATGGTGGGGGAATGCGTTTGTTCCGAGCCTTCCCCCCCGCGCCCTCCCCCATCACCACCACCACCCCCAACTACCACCTTCCATCCTATCGCCCTTTTTTTTTACTTTTCATCCGCAGCAAAACTGAAGATCCATATCATGGACTGCAGCCGAAACATATTTGTATAATTCTTTTTAATTTTAAATAGATTGCGAAACAAGCCAAACAACCCCCACTCCCCCGACCCTGGATCTGTCACTGCTCGCGACTGATCGTCCATCTGGCAGCCGGGATGAATTATAGTTGTAAGCAAGAAGTCCCTCTTAGATTCCTTCGGATTCCAGGGAATCTTCTGAATCTCCTTTCGAATTCTGTCTCTTATATTCCTGGATCTAGGTCCCTTCAAAATGTTCATACGCTTATCTTCGCACTCCTTTTGCCTCCACCTCCCCTTGAAATTTCAACGCGATTCTTTTCCTCGGTCGGCTGAGACGACATCATAGTCAGGAAAAAGTCGCAAACTCGGAAGACCAGCTAGATCGGCATCGGCGGAAGCGGAAGAGGAGAGACCGTATGGTGACGACTAGCGGGTCGGCGATGCACTCCTGTTGTCACTTTGTCCTCCAGGTGGCGGGCAGAGTCCCCGTCAATGGCCGTCTGGCTGTGGCACTGTCGCAGATGGGTCCCGTTCCATATGTCCCAGTTCGGAAAACCTACCACTAGGCTATGCCATCTGTGCTTCGTTTCGTTTGCTTTGGCTAAGGTACGACATAGAATGAATTCTGTGGTCTTCCCTACCCTCAGGTGTTTCTTATCTCAACAAGGGGGCCTGAAAATCCGCGGAACGCTACGGTACGTGTAAGCCTAGATCTAGCATACCAGATTTTGAATGTCGAGTGACTACTTTTGGTACGGATTCAAGATCTAGGACAACAGCACTGTGATGTACCTTTAGTCAGAGTGAGTCAAGTTGAGGTTCAGATAGCCTGCCGATCACAGGAGTTACGAAAGGTATTCCGCAATAAGGCCAAACCTGCTAGGTTCATGGTAGATATAAATGAAAGGAAATTATCTTACCTTTGGTAAGGTAGCTTTACTTTAATATATAAATGATTTAATGATGGCATATGATAGTATCCTAGTATCCTTAAATGAAGGTGCATAAAAATAGGCTATTACATTATGCAAACTTGTGCTTATGTAGAAAATTTAACATGAAATAAAAATGTCTAACCTCAAAGAGGGCTAGATTCAGTAAGATATTGCATACATCAAGTTAAGTTTTGGTCAGGCTCATCAAGTTAAAGGCTAGGCTATTGTTCAGTGAATCATTTTGAATTGGATGAATATCCCTACACTGTCAATATCAGGAAAATAAAACTCTGCATTGGACCAGGTGCTCAATTGGAGCAGTATAATCTGTCTAGAGCAGTAAGAAAAGTGGAGGAAGGACAATGGGATGGGGGGGGGGGGGGGGAGAGAGAGAGAGAGAGAGGGCTCCTTGATTTGGAACAGTAACTTATAAACATCTGCATTGCTTCCATAGGTAGATCTTCATATTTCCCTGTTTTTCTGAAGGTTTTTCATGAACTCTTTTCTTAGGTGGTAATTTTGTAAAATTTCAGTTGACTTGGGACTTTCATATCCCCTTGCTGCAGCTATAATCTGTAACCATAATCAGTTCTTGCTTGCAGTATTTTTATATGCAAAAGTATTTTTATATATTTTTATATGTTTTTAAGTGCATGTTTATATACATATGCATACAACCAGTGTTGGGTGCATTACTTGTGAAAAGTAACTAGTTACAATTACAAGTATTTCATCCAAAAAGTAATTAGTTACCAGTAGAATTACTTCTCACCAAAAGTAACTAGTTACAAGTAGAAGTTACTTTTCATGAACGAAAATTCTGATCTTTCTACGGCTTCTCCATTTCTTCAACAAAAGCTGGATGCATGGACTGAAAGCGAAAGTTACCCCTGATTTCATGAAAATTGAATTATGATAATCACTTAACTGGATAAATACTTATGCTCACTCTTTTCCCTATGCCTCTTCCCTTTCCATGGGTTACTTAACAGGAATTATATACTGATAGACAGAAAAGTTATGTTTTAGTTAAAAAAAAGCCAATTTAGCCATTGGTGATGGGGAGACCTACCCCAGTCTGCCCCTTATCATGAGTACCAGATAGAAAAATAGAACAAACCAAAATCATGTCCTCTTGTTTTCCCTTAACCAGACATGGACTGTATAAATCCAACTTATACAATGATTAAAAAAAAAGAATTTTCACTACCTTTTACAATGTAATGGTATTTTTATGGCACAATCAAGGAGATGAGGGTGTTTCAACCATCAAATATGGGGAATTGAGTCTGAGGTGTTCATGTTAAAAGTGGTACATATTCACTTGCAAATCACTTTTCATTAAGTTAGGCTCTCCACTTTGAAATGCAAGTGCTAGGCCTGAGTATTAATGGAGTCTAACTAATGATGGATTGTTGGGAGAGTGCTAAAATGAGGCACTTGAAATATGGAGAGGCAGGTAGGGCATACCTGCCCGCCGAACCCAAAGGGGATCGGACAAAATTGATGAGAGAGGTGCCAACGATAAGCATACAAAAAGTTTCAGTGCAGATGCATTATCAGAACCAAAGCAATGTCAATCATTCCAATCTAACGTTAGACCAAAGGGTGTCTGTATGGAGTCAGGACACGATGGAACTATCTAGACATGCTTTCTCAAGTTAAATGCTGAAGTTCGTGCAATGGAAAGTACCTTGGCTGTCAGTAAACATAGAGCACTTCACACAAAAGTTTGCATCAATGTGGTGGCGTATTTTGGCTGAAGGGTCGGGGTGGGGGGGGCAGGGCAATAGAGCCAAACCCCACCCGAGAGATATTGGGAGAGAAAAGTATTACTTCTAAGGTGGGGCTCTGTCCCAGAGGCGCCTGGGGCCAGCTACCCCCTGTAAAATACGTCTCTGCATCGATGGAACTCTCGAATTCGTTTCTGACCTGCACATTGAAATATTTTTGTAAGTACGGCCAAGAAACCTGCACTGAATAAACCATGTTTTCTCAAGGCCATTTCATGTCCCCATCTTTCCTCCCAATATTGCATCATTTAGGATGCATGTGGCCATGTAGCGTTGGTTGTTTTCAGAAAATTTAGTAAATCATCAAGAAAAGGAATGCGTTACAGTAACATCATATACTTTTGCCATGAAAAAGGAACTACAGGGTGACTCAAAAGTCCTTGGACACCTTTAATCAAGTGTAGCATTCTCTGATGAAGACCAATTTAATTTCTGATTTGACCAGTGCAAAGATCACAAAAAACTAAACCAACCGTGTTTTTATGTTTAAAAAATATCGCCATTTGAGACAGTAACCTGCTTCAGACATTATGGGAAATCATTTATGGTTCTTCACAACTGATCAATCGACAATTCACATTCCATGCCTTCAGCAGATCAAGCTTCAAGCTATTGATACTCTTGTGTGGCTTGCAGCAGACCTTGGCCTGCAAGTAGGACCACACACTGTAATCCAATGGATTCAAATCAGAACTACTAGCAGGCCATTCTTCTGGGGAAATCAAGTCTGGAAATCTCAGAATGAGCTGGAGAAGGAAATATTTTGGAAAGTATCATCACTGGAGATGAGACATGGTGTTATCAATATGATCCGGAAACGAAACGTCAATCCCTTGAATGGAGAACTGCAAATCCACCGAGACAAAAAAAAGCCCGAATGTCGAAGTCGAAAATCAAGACGATGCTGATTCATTTTCTTTTACGTCAACGGAATCGTCCACTCAGAATTCGTGCCAGAATGACAAATAGTCGACCAGATGTTGTACAAAAACGTTTTGAAGAGGTTGCGTGAGGCTGTGAGGAGGAAAATGGGCGATCTGTGGAAGGAGAACTCGTGGATCACGATAACTCGCCGTCTCACACAGCCCTTTCTGTCCGAGAGTTTTTGGCCGCCAAGCGGATCACTGAAATGGATCACCCGCCGTATTCGCCCGATTTTGCCCCCAGTGACTTTTGGCTGTTTCATGGATATTCATGGATTTTAAGCCAAGAAGGGATACTAGTAATATTGGCAGTTTGGGGATTGAACTGGAACTCTTAATTTATTTTACAGGGTGAGTCAAAAGTCCTTGGACACCTTTAATCAAGTGTAGCATTCTCTGATGAAGATCAATTTAGTTTCTGATTTCACCAGTGCAAAGATCACAAAAAACTAAACCAATCTTGCTTTTATGTTTAAAAAATATCCCCATTTGAGGGAATAACCTGCTTCAGACGTTTTGGGAAATTATTCATGGTTCTTCGCAACTGATCAACAGACAATTCATTCTATGCCTTCAGCAGATCAAGCTTCAAGTCTTTGATACTCTTGTGTGGCTTGCAGCAGACCTTGGCCCGCAAGTAGGACCATACATTGTAATCCAATGGATTCAAATCAGAAATACTAGCAGGCTACTCTTCTGGGAAATCAAGTCTGGAAAGTGAGTTCTGCCGAAGTCGATGGTGGATTTTGCCTTGTGAGCTGGTGCTGAGTCCTACTGGACTGCCCAAGGCTGGGATTTGAAATGTTCCTGAGTCCAGGGGAGTAGCACCTTCTTCAACACACACTCTTGATAGTAGCTGGCATTGATCTTGGCCTGAGGCTGCACAAAATGCAGGGGAGTTTTGCCAGAAGCACAAACACCACACCATCACACTACCAGATTTTTGAACTCGATGGACATATCGCTGGTGAGACTTGAAAGAGGAAAGCGGGTCCTTTGAACCCCAGAAGAGATTGTTTTGGGGGTTGTAAGCTTGCTCTACGGTGAACATTTTTTTGTCAGAAAAAAACAATCCTTTAGAGTGAGGACTGGTTAAACCGTTTGAGCAACTGGCGAACCCTTTGAACTTGTTTCTTCTTATTGATCTCTGTAAGCAGCTGTACCTTTTGTTTTTTAAAAGGCTTCTTGCAGAGCTTTGCCCTGATGTATCTTCGCAAGGTCTCTTTGTCTACTCTCAAGGTTTGCACAAGCTTTCTTCCAGAATGCTCTGGATTTCGGTATTCTGGATTTAGCATTTGCCTGACTCGTTTCTGGAGCTTCTTATCCTGGAACACGGAAGGACGTCCACTTCTTTGGCAATCTGCTGCTGATCCAAGCTCATTGTATCGCCAAATAATGCTATAGATGGTAGATCAAGGGGTTTTGGTGAGCTTTGAGATCCTGCTTGCTGGAAGACCACTCTAGTTATGAAAAATCACTGCTTCTCTTTGATGTTTGGGAACCATATCAAGAGCTTTCGACCTGAAGCTTGGAAGGCAAATAGATCTGTAGTAGATGTTGCTTCACTCAAAAAATCACCTGGCTATCACTTGTCCAACAGTTTTTTCAATAGGTGTCAAAGGACTTTTGAGTCACCCTGTAGTTACCAGTTCCATTACCCTCCCCTGAAAAGTAACTCGTTACCTTAAAAGTTACTGAAAAAAGTAATTAGTTACTGTAACACGTTACTTTCACTTCATTACCGCCCAACACAGCGTACAACTTGAGTGCCTTGTTCCAGTCATGTTCCATGCACTTTTTGTGGAATGGTGTGTTGTAACTGCTTCATAATCTGAGAAGCAGGTGCTAAAAAAAGTCTCTTTTACAAATGTGTAAGAAGGGACAGCCAGAAATTGTCCTGTTTCTTTAGGCTTGCAATATTTCCAAGATTTTGTATCAGAGGTTAAAGCCAGGGTCCAGGGATAGGTGTCCAATATTTTGTAAATATAGTCCTACATGTACTATTTATTCTACATGTATCATTGTGCTGATTTGCAGCAGACTAAAAATATATTATCTATTGCAGTGTGGTGTGGAGTGTCTATATAAAGAGAATATTATGGAGGCCTTGTGGCCATTGATGTAGGCTAACAGGCCTGTCATATTGTCATACTTCATGGCACTACATTCCAAGGATTTCTAGTGAAATATAAATTCAGCGCTCAACAAGATGAAACGGTCATCTATGGGATCCAGGCTCAGGTAAGTTGAGTAAGCTGAAGTAGCAATATAAGGTGCAAGCATTGCATTATCTTGGCTGTGTGTGCTTGATGGTTTTGTCACACTACTTACATCTGTAGTAAACTAAGTAAACCACCTCAAACTGCATCTATTTTCAATTATATTTCACATTTTTTCAGCTGACAGGTACCAGTTAATGGAAAGAGCCTTACTTGAGCGTCTGACAGTTGGAGTCACCTGAAGCCTAAGCATAAAATTTTAAGCCAAAGTGGAGAAGTCTAATGCCTTTTGGAATGAAGTTGCTCTAAGGTGGAATGTTCCAAAATTAGGCAATTATTCCTTTGGTTTTTTTTTCAACAGCTGGATATGTGACTGAGCTGAACTCTTTCCTGGTCACTTGTGGTTCCTCTCATATTTTCTTATTTTCATTCCCCATACATTATATCCTAACTCATCAAAAGAGGTTCCAGGTTGAATGTGGTTGTAAACCAAGTTATGTCAAACAACTGCAGGTAATTCTTTCAAAAAGCTAGGGCACACTTTTGTGTATTTGAAGTACTCACAGCAACAGCTTTGCAATGCTTTGACCTTCAGAACGTAAAATAAATTAAAAAGATCTTAAGGTTTGTTTTCACTTCTGATTTATACAATTTTGAATCACTTTAGAATCCTGATTCAGTGTATTCCTTGTTCATTACCATGTGTCATTCTGTCTCTGCTTCTTTTAGAGAAAATCCCATCCATCTCTTTGAATGTTTCTGTGAAGTTACTGCACCTACTGAGGACAACCTAAAGCCATGGATTCTCCAAAAATTCCCAGAGTCTTTCAATGATCAGGCTGTTCTACGGCCCACTCCTGAGTTCACCTTCCCATGTGACTTTGAAAAGTGAGTAATTATTTAGGAATAAGTCTCCTATCCAATGACTCATGCTGCATGTCATTTATATCATCCAAGTCATCTTGAGGCATTCTTCTTGAATGACAGTCCCATTCATTATGCTGAGTTCAGAAAGTGATTGTGATTGCTCTGAAACTCATTGCAAAGTCTACTGAGATCATACTTGCAATACACCAGTTCACAAGACTGAATGTATTGGACTAGAAAAGTTCACACCCTATTGGAATATGTTGATGTAATTGAGGCATAATGGCAGCTATTAGAGTGCTGGCTCCTGTATGTATTGGGTAGTTTCTAAGTTTTTTTTGGAACTTCTTGGTGTAGCTTTGATAGAGTGGAGCTATTGCACTGTGTCCCATTGGTCTTTTGATATGTAAGATATAATAGTGCTGGTGTGCTTTGTTACTTTGGAGCTTTGGAGTCAACTGCAGAACTCATGAAGAGCATGAATTGCAGCATGGGAGCTTCACTTTGCCAAAAAGTTAGAGAACAGTGAAAAGGAAAAACATATCTGATCAGAGAATTTAGAAATAAGTTGTTGAGACAGTCAGTATCTTTATATTGTTTAAGGAATATAATTAAAACTTTTTTCCATGACCACGTCAGTTTGATGATATCATGATGATGACTTTGCTGAGTCAAGCTTTACTTTTTCACCTATATGGCTGTACAGCTTGTTGGGAAGTTATTACCTTTCACCTTCATTTCAGGACTACAGTTCAGCACTTCAGTTTTGTCCTGACAAGTGGTGATTCAAAGTGGACATTTGGCTTTTGTCGCCATGCTCCAAAAAGTGATACTGCCATTATTTTGTTGAGTCACCTACCTTGGCATGAAGTGTTTTATAAGCTTCTCAACCAAATAGCAGATGTCATGCAAAAGTAAGTTGTTTTGCTTTGGTGTTGTCTTCCTTCAATTTAACTCATGTTCTATGAGAAATGAATATCTGCATCTGTTCTTAGATCTGACAGTGGTGCACTATGGAGATTCCTTCAAGATGTTTACAAAGCATCAGTACCTGAGCCTGGCACAGATCTCACTATCAATGTTGCAAGCAACACATACTCATGGAAATGCCCTGATCATTTTAAACTTCCTTCTATACCTGAGAATGTAAGTTCTTTATTTTTTTTTGTTGCAAATTCAGTCATATTTCATGTCAAGAGTGCAATTTATTTGACTTTTGAAAAGGTGTGGCATTTGAAGCATTTTTCCTCCTGTATTTTAGAGGAACCTCACAGAGTACTTCAATGCAGTTGATGCACAAAACATGATGGAGATATTTGCATCAATGTTATATGAGAGAAGAATAGTTATCACATCACGGCGTCTTTCACGCCTCTCAGCATGTGTCCAAGCTGCAAATGAGCTCATCATGCCCATGACTTGGCAACATATTTTCATACCAGTACTACCAAACCATCTCATTGATTACTTGTCAGCACCAATGCCATTCCTCATTGGTGTTCCTACTTCCATCATGCAGGTAATTTTTCCAATTTGTGCCTCTTGCATTAATGCAATTAGGTTTCTTTTGGAAAAGCAATGTATTGATGCTACCCAAATAATGAACTAGAGGATATGAGTAGATTTATGCATCTGGCAACCACATATTTTCCTTGAAACAGAAAGTGAAAATAGCAGAGCTTGGAGAAGCTGTGATTCTGGATGCTGACAACAATAAAGTGACTACACCTTTTCGTGATCTGGAGAGTCTTCCCCTTGATGTGGTAAGTCATTTGTCAGTGTGTTACCTGAATACTACAATAATACAGCAGTCATCTTTTGTGGTCTGTGTGTATGAATGAATCAGAGCATTTCAAATCCAGGTCCTTCCACTGAAGAGGAACTTGAAGAACCCTGATGGGATGCTTGGTGATAGAGTGAGTCGGTCATTCCTGAAGGCTCTTGTCCAGCTCATTGGGGGTTACAGAGAAGCTCTCATCTTGAAAGAGGGAGAACTAATCACGTTCAGTCCTGAAGCATTTGTACGCACTAGACCCTCCATGCAGCCCTTCCTCGAGCAGATGTTGCAGCTGCAGATTTTCCAACAGGTGTGACTTGATGAAGATAGTCATAATTCAGCAGGAATGTGACCGCATTTTTTAATGTATCATTCTGTTTCTGTCATTGCATTTCCTACTGTTTCAGTTCATTGAGGAGAGGTTGGAGGTGCTAAATTCTGGCCTAGGGTATTCAGATGAATTTGAGAAGGAGGTATGCCTTTATAGTGGGAAGCCAGCATCTGCCTTCTTACAGATCCAGCCCAAAGAATGGTTTGATCAAGTGCGCAAAGAGGGTGGAGCTTTTATAAAAACTGTGAAGACAAAGGTGCGTGACTATAGATTATTCTGGCATGATTAGGCTTTTGCTTTCTGTTTTTGTTTTTTTCTTTAGCATGACCACAGGACTTTCATTAATTCTGAGAATCCTGTATATCATTGGCATGATCTATTACATGCTTCATAAATGCATGAAGTCTCTATTCTGAACATGATGGGATTCATATTTTCTTCCATTCTATTGCATTGCATGGCCTGCCCTTGACTAATTTCTTCCTGCTACATGAATCTCAGGTCCTGAGTGTCCTTCCTTTTCTCGAGAGTCTGGATGATAGCAGTCAGGTAGGCAATATTTGCACATCCAGCTCACCATAGTCCAAGCTTGTTCTCTGGCTTCTGTTGCTGCTTGCATAGGGGAGCATTACAGCTTTTACATTAACCAGAATCAAATCTGACTTTGTTTTTGGAGAGACAAAGAGATGAGCAACATAAAAATAAAATGCTCAAGTCAGATTTATCTCCTCCTTTAGTTTAATTAGCTTTTTTATGTATATATTGGATCAATCCATGATTGGTTATTTAAAAATTTGTTCCTTTTAATGAATGTGATTTGATAGCAAATTGAACATTTAGAAATGGGAATATCATGGACTGGTGGATGTAGACCTAACAAGCATTTTGCTCCACTGCCACAGTGCATGAGTGTACTCTTGATATGCACTTTTAATTGGTGCATCTAAACTGGATTGTCATTGGGTCCCTGTAGCAAAGCCTATGAATGAGGACTTTGAACTTTTTATTCCATGTCTTTGGGGTCAGTTCTATCCGGGCATGCATGCCTTTCCAATGTAACTTCGGTTCCCAGTTCACATACTTACAGTCATGCAATATTTGACACACTTGATACTTGTTTCAAGGACTCTGAGTGAGTTACAGATCATAGCCCTCTTAAAGACCTTGATAGAAGTATGAAGTGCTACAAAAAGGCCTCTGTAACAGAGGCATGAGGAGAGTTATGAGTTTGGGAAGTTATGAGAAGGGGACTTATTATGTAAAGGTTGCTTGCACTACTGATTGCTACATGAGTAACTCTGATGTCTTGATAAAATCATGTTTTCAATACATGATTTGACTAGCATTCCATGTTGTGGTTTTTTGGAAAAACATTTTTCGGAAGTTGCTATTGGTGTGTGATTTGACCACTTCTGGTAATCTCATAAGAAATCATGTTAATTTATTGATAGCCTCCCTGTGTGTTCAAATTTGACCAGTTGCAGTGTCAAATATCTTTGCCACAATGAACAGACATTTGTGATTACGCATGTTTCAGCTAGCAAGGTTAAGATTCTAGACAAGGATATTCAATGTTCTACCAACGTGTAAGTAGCTTTGATATAATGAACATATAAAGTTTTGAGATGGAAAAAGTTTTCTGCATGTAAGGGTAAGTTTCAGCACTCAGCAATCAAAGGAAAAGATTCCTGCTTCCTTTGCTGGTGCTGAGACAGAAGCTTTAGCTTGATGCAGTATGCAAGAAGCAAGCCGCTACTCATTCTCTTGGATTAATTGCTTTTTAGATCTTTGATTGTCTTTTGCTCTCTTTTATTTTGCAGGCTAATCCAGCGATGAAGAGTGCAGCTAAATCAGTGAGTTATGACTTGATTCCACTTCTTCATTGAAACATGTAGCATTTTTTCTACTGGTATAGTGGTTCTCCAAACAGTATTGTTGATTGGGGCTCTTTCTATCCTTTATATCTGGCAGTTATATCTTAGAGGGCTTACATTCACAATAAAGTTCTTTTAATGTCATATATAATGAACCCTAGAGAATGTTTCATAGTATCACAAAATCTCTTCCACTAATTAGATGGACCAAGTTCCTTAGCCTTCTTCCTGGTTTTTCATTTCAACTGACCTGGGTTGGAATGCAACTGAATACAATGCTAGCATCATGCATGGGGAATTATGCTTTTATGTTTTGTCAATCTAAGCAGGAAAATGGTTCATGGTTGCCTAATTGAAGGAGAATTCGCTTTATGCACCTTTTTTTCTATATAAAAAAATATCAGGTGTCCATAAAGTCCCAATCTATTTTTATGAAAAACAATAAATTTCCTTTAAATTTCAGGTTTACTTGACAGAGCAGTCTGCAATAGTGGAACGATGGACAGATAACTGAATAACACACCATGCTGACAGTGCCAAAGAGGATAGGATTTAGTTCCCTAAGTGGTGGATAGACCAAGGTTGAGACAGGCCATTGGCATCACAGTTGCTGGAACTGACATCAATGGACTTTTTTTGTGGGGATTTCTCAAGTTGCAGGTTTACAGGAGCAAGATTTTCTGACTTACAGGATCTTAAAACTCACTCTTTTGCTGCAGTTGAATCCATAACACTGGCAGTGTTGCACAACATGTTCAAGGTCACCAACTGGTGACAAGAATGCCAATAAATGAATGGTGGACATGTGGAGATGAAATAGTGCTACTTGATGAAACAATGCTTAAGTGATTTAAATTTATTCATTACAATTATTGAACCTGAAATGTAAAGGAAATAAGATTGCTCTTCATGAAAATAGATAGGACTTCATGGACACCCTGTATATTGCATCTGCATTATATGCTTCATCTTTCTTCAGGAAAATTTTCTTGCACCTCATACATATACTTACTATGAAAAATATGAGATTTCTGAACCATCAAGGTTTTTTTTGACAAGGTATGTTTTTTGAGCCTGCCATAGAAAAAGTCGTGTACATCCAGTCCCAATGCTGTATTGATATTCAGAACCCAAGAGGCCCAAGGCCTGTATCTTGTTCCACATGACATCTCACTGATTGATTGATATCCAAACACAGAAGGTCCATGTTCTGTACTGCATTCATATTGTAGCCAACTATATCCCCTTGTGTATTCCTACCTGCCATTTTTGAATTGATTCTTATCTACTTAGTTACTTTGCAAGAAGTTTAATCAGCCAAGATTCTGCTTATTCATGCTGTCAGATTTGTTGAGAGCCAGCTTAACCCTTTCATGCTCTATGGTTTCATTTGGAAGCACTGAATTCAGGAAGTTTTCAACCTTATTCATGTTAATTTTCATGAATATTGGTTACATCAGCTTTACCTCCACAATACAAATTATCTGATGATGAATTGACAATTTGTTGGTTCTGTTCCTGTGCATGTCTAGAGTAGATCAAAGAGAGGGAACTCTGAAGTTCTTGAAATTTTGTAAGAGTGAGTGCATCTAAAAAATTTTTTCTAGAAATTCCTTATAGCTTATTTCAAGTTAGATGATGGAACATGGAAGAGAAATGTCTTAATATAGGCACTTTTTTGCATCATGTTTATCTGCAGTTTTCATATAAAAATCAACTCTTGGAAACATTACAAATAGGAAGTTCATTTGATTGGAAGATCTCTGAACTAAAGTAATACTCCATTACATTGAATAACTAGGTGACCTCAAAAATGATTTTCCTGTTGGAGGAGTTTGTTGTAACTGCTGTGTTCCATTTCCACTAGTACAACCTTTTTTTTTTTTATAGGCCTGCAGTTGCTTGATCCAGGCCGTTTAGATGGATGCTACCAACCCTTGGTGGCATCAGTGTATTTCTAAATTCCCACCTCTGCTTCCCTGTCTCAGCTTCTTCTCAGCCCAGAGCTGTGCATGCTTCATTTCTTAAGGTAGACTGAAGTATAATTATGTCTATTCTATCAAAGTTCTAGCTTCTTTTAACCTCCCCCCCCCCCCCCCCCCAGCAAGGACAAGAAAGCAGGGGGGGCTGGGCAGGGATGGCAAATGCCCCCCCTCCGAGAATACTAGGTTTTGGGGCAATGACTGCCTTTTGTTCCCTCACTTTTTTCCAGTTAGATGCACATCTCTCACCAGTAAACCAATGTTTGGCATATGAATTTGTTGAATCTTCCTTTTATAGTTCAGAACCATTTGCTTCCCCCTCTCCTTTCAATGACATTTATACACCCATACCCTCCAGTTCCTGGGATACCTGTGGCATTTTGTTTAACCCTTTGAGGAGTATGCCTAAAGATTTGTGGACTGAGACTATCCTGACCTCTGTGTATATATTCACTACAGGGGATCTTGTAGGTGTTAAAAAAAAAATCCACTCATCAAAGGGTCAAGAAGGTTTAGCAGTTGTAAAATAGAAGAGGCATGAGGGCACATGTGACTGGGAATAGAGAACTTGAGGAATCTTGTTTATGGGTTAGGAATGAATACAAGATCAGGATGACATCATCAATTGCATCATAAATTCCAGTGAGGTAATTATGTTAATTCATGGTCATTATCTCATTTATCAACTGATTTCTCAAACTCTTATGAGAGGGGTTTAAGGTGCATAAAAGTTGGGGTGTGAAAATGTAGATACTTACGCATGAACAGTGAATGGTGCTCTGGGAATGGACTTGAACTTTCTTGTGCCTCTGGGCTTAGCATTTTCCCTTGCATCCTACCCATGGATAAGTGCATGAATAGTATACTTGCATGGAGTGGCTCACAAGATCATATCTTTAGTTGACTTTTTTTTTTTGTTACAGTACTTCCATGAATGAGGACTCTTTGGTATTCCTTGGAAGACAGACAATAGTTGTCTATGGAAACGATTTGTCATATTCCAGCACTCATATGTGTAAATCAATCCTTGCTCCTGCTTGCTGAGTGACAGTTCTGAGATTAGGTTCTCATGTTTCACTTCAATGTCATTGCAGTAGAAGGTTTTTGGTGTTTAACCCATCCGCTTACCTAGCCATAGAATCAATGGCCTGACATTACATGCACTTGGTTCACCTAATAGTTGTTTCACTGTTCTTGTGTCTACTTGTCTATTGGTATGATTTCTGTCCAAGATGACTATGCTTAGTTGGCATTTGTGAGTAATTATTAGTATGTACAGGGTGATTTTTTATTCATGGGATCATTATACATATTTATAATCTTGGAATAAATAGAGTTAGATGCCTGAAATTTTACATCAAGAATCCATAAACATGGGAAAGATGCACTCTATGAAAAACATGTTCAATGCATCCTCCTCAGCACACCATTACATGTCGTAGGGGTGTGGTGTAATTCTGCACAACTACTTGCATCCAGGGAAATGGAATAACTTCACATTCCGTGGTCCCCTTCAGGTCTCTAAATGTGCATGGATTTAACATTGACTCAAAAACTTTGTCTTTAGGTATCCCCAGAGAAAATAGTTACATGGATTGAGATCATGGCTTGCCAACACACTGAACGTTGTGTTAGACTTCCTGCATGAGAGCTTCGGTACCAGAATGCTGTCTAGCAGATTTCCTGATATCCACAGCGGTGGATTAGTATGGCCACCATTTCCTTCCCCCCCATCTCAATCTATGTGGCTATTTCCTCTGGGGATACCTGAAAGACGAAGTCTTCAAGTCAATGTTAAATTCATGCACATTTGGAGACTTGAAGATGGGCACAGAACGTGAAGTCTACTCCATTTCCCAGGATACTCTGCAGGTAGTTGTGCAGAATTTCACCCCACCCCTACAACCGTTGATTGTAGGGGTCCTCAAGTCGTCCTCTGTGCACACAGAGGAGGACTCATTGAACATGTTTTTTTCACAAAGTATAACTTCCCCATGTTTATGGATTCTTGATATGAAATTTCATGCATCTAACTCTATTTTTTCCAAAATTATAAATATTTTTATTGGTCCCGTGAATAAAAAATCACCCTGTTAAGTGTCATGGGCAAATGTTCATCAAATTAAATTGTATTTTACCGGTAGCTTCAGCAAAGACAATTTGTAAGTGGATGGGTTAAGCATGCTTAAAAATACTCAAAATAAATAATTTTTTTTTATATGTTGAGCAGAGCACTCATTAATGCCTGGGGATGTTTTTGGACTTCCAATGGGCAAGTTTATTTATAGATATATGTGAGCCTGATTGATCTTCTGGACTCAACTGCTGACATTTCACCAAGGTCTTGCCATAAGAGTTCTTCCCAATTGAGGAATACTTTCAAATGTCCCAACTCCTATGAACTTCTTCAGAAAGAGTCTATTTTTTTTTTCATTCTTGTTATTGTTTGGCAGCTCTGCCATTAACCTCCCTCTCCTGAACCCTTTTCTTAACACATTCACCGCCACATGTGACTGTAAAAAAAAAAAGGTGATTTTTCAACCATTGAAAATAAATTTCCAGTCTAGTTGTGAGTGAAAATCAATATCTACATTGCTTCTTTTATGTCTCCTTTATGTTTCCCAAATGTTTTGTAGCATTTGAGCTGCACCTGTAGAAGAACTTAAGAAATTGAGAACTATTTTGAAGGAGGCATGAATACGTTGTATGCAGTCTTTGGCAGCAAATGTATTATACAGGATGATCTAAAAATACTTAGTAAACTCACATGTTAATTTTTATTATTACTTCTGGGTCACTCATTCAAAATTTAATTGATAAATTAAAACAAAAATAATTAAACATGATTCCTCTTAACCTTGTGTTTTTTCTCATATTTTTAAAAATCTTTTATCATTAAAACTTCCCCCCCCCCCCCCTCCTCTCAAATGAAGACCTGAATGCAAAAGGGAAATAATCTTGAACCTTGAGTTTACTAGGTATTTTTAGATCACCCTGTAGAATTGGAAGTAAAATTTGATAATCTTTACTCAACACCATTATTGCTGCACTAAAGTGCTTAAGTTGTACTTATGAAATGAAGAAAGTTTCTCCATTTCAGACTTGTTCCAGGATGTTGATCATAACTTTAATTTTAATAGATGGATTTTGATAACCTTGGAAGAAGCTTTGGGGGAAAAAAGAGGTGACTGCTACATCTGCATCCAACTTTTCAAGAATTAACAAAAGCAATCCTGAGATACAGACACTTGAAGTCATTGATCCATATTTTTCTCTTTTTTTTTGCCATACCCTGTAAATCAACAGGCAGGATTTATTGCTCTATAAACTGAAGAATTGGTCCTCTGGATTACTTGCTGGTGCAAAGGTTCACATTTTCATGCATGTGTGAGAAGAATGCATCCTTATTTTTTTGTGGCCACCTAGGTGAAGGTAGTGAGAGAAAGAAGCAAATCAGCATACAGAGACATCAGGACAAAGCTTCGTGAGGGGGGTGATACACACAGTGTGAAGATTCACTCAATTATGAACAAGTCCTTGGGCACACCATCACCTCCACCTAGAATGGTGATAGAGGAAGAGGATGAAGGCGAAACAACCCATTCAGCTCCTACGTCACCCACACAACAAGTACCTCGCTTTGCAAAGCCATTCTCTCCTTCTCGAGCTCTTTCCACTTTTCGGAAAACATCTCAGCAGTTGAACCCTCTTCAAAATTCAAGAAGTTCCCTGTAAGTTGGAACTTGATGGTTTTACAGGAAGAAGGCCCAGAAGCATTAGGTGAGATAAATCATTTTTCCATTTGTAGATCAAGTCCAGCATCCACTCCTGCTTTGGGTCTTGATGAGAATGCAGTGGAATCAGATGGTGATATAGACTTCCCAACCATTGATATGTCAGATCTCAGAGAAGTCCTAGCTCGCAAATTTAATATCCATGAGGACCTGCAAACCTCTCAGTCTGCCAAAACTGAAAGAACAAATCAAGAAGCACCTGTGAGTTGACATACAGTCTTCATTGTTCACAATTACTGTATATAACATTCTTTCAGAGGTTATTTATTAGGACTGCTATATTCCATTAAATTGGGTTTCTTATTGTTCCTGAATCACCTGGCTAGTGGCCAGTGGCAACACTTTCAACGCCACTGCAATGGTTTTAAATAAAATTAATAATGAGAACAATTGGATAGAATAGGGTAAGTGGCAGTATGTACTCATTGCACACGCTTTGGAAGATTAAATCTCAAATGCCAAATTCTATGGAAACTATGGGCCACTTATCATGGATTGATTTAGCAGCCCATGAATAATCATACTGAAAGCTTTGGTTGATGGGCAAGGGTATTAAAGGAGACATCTCGGTTAAGCAGTCTGGTTCTTATGCATTTCAGGTGGAGGAGGTGGTGCAAGAGATTGGTGATCTTGTCCAATGGGATTCGCCTGAAAAAGATGCTCCTCCCCCTGTGCCAAGTCGTGAAGATTCTTTGTCGTCTTTTGATCCTCTTCTATCACCAAAGTTGAATGATTCCTCTCCATCGTCCACAAACATGGGTGCTGCTAGTCCTCGTCCAAGGAATCTCCCTGAATCGTACGTCTGGTGTACTCCACCTACTGCTTTTCTTCAACACAGTCATCATGCTGCTGTTGGAACCAATCCAAAATTTGTAAACCTCAAGAGTAGTGGGGGTGATGCTGCAAGTAATTTGTGTAATCACTCCATTGCCCAAAGATCAAAATCTCCATCTCTGATTGACCAGGCCTCAGCATCATCAATTGAAATGCCATTGACTGCCCTCTCCCGCCAAACAACAGCCTCTCCTCTACTTGAGCCTGAAAGGCTAAGTCACCCAAATTCTGGGAGCAACAGCCCAAGAAAGCCAGATCCCTTTCATGATCTTGACCCGTTAAGAGAATATCGCCAGGTTTTCCAGAAAGTTGTCCACTGTGAACCAGAACTACCAAAGAGTGAATCTTCCAGTCTGGATGAGATGAGACGCAATTTTATAAATGAATCCATGCTGCAGTCTCCTGTTCATCCAGAAGTTACAGAGAGGAATGGAGTGGAGTCACATCATGTGAATGACCCTTGGACTCCTAACAATGAAAACAGGATTCCTCCAAGGAAAAATTGGATTGCATTTGATGAGTAGCTTGAGATGCCCATGTCATCAACTAATCATGGTTAAAAAATCTGTTGTGATGGGTTAAATCTGTGAAGTCCCACATTCTTTTAACCTATTAGAGTGATATTCTACTGATATATGGATATTCACATTTTATATTTATTTTTGAAATACTATTCCTGCTGCGTGATGTGTTATTGAATCATTGATAATATATGTTTTTCTTTTTCAAGATTTTTGGACTGTCTTTTCACTGTTAACTCTCTGATACATTAACTCTTGCTGTATCAGAGGGTGAATTACAGAAGCAGTTGGAAGATTAATGCACTGGATAGGAGCCATCTGAAACACAGTGATAGTCATTAGAACTGTCAGGCACTTTCTGGTGGAATCATTAAAATACTTTTTATATTTCAAGTAGGCACATCCCACAAGAAACTATTCAGAAAATGATGTCCAGATTACAAAACAATTCAAGCTGACATCCTTGAGTACTATATTGAAAGTGTTCCATTCTGCACATGCAGAGTAAATGGCAATAAACAATAAAATCTACAATCCTATGCATATTGAGAGCATCTGGTAACCTCTAATAGAGCAGTTATTCAGTTGTTCTCTCTTTCACATTGTGGTTTGAAGACTACTCTGACTAGTTTTTAGCCTCTGTTGTACTGAGGGCAAATTGAGGCAAAAAAATAACATGAAATTAATTTCATTTTTATATGTTTTTTAAACAATGCCTTTTACTTATTGTAAATTACATTTGTGAACTACATTCCTCAGTCTTGGTTGTTGACCTTTTTAAAGGGATGTCTCACAGTCACTTGAGTTTAAATTCTTGAAATTTCGAGATGGATGAGATTTAACCATTGGTTTTTAAAGTCCTAAAGCATTTAAAATTACTGTGTCTCTTAAGGGTATATTTAGTTTTTCTGTTCACTAAAGTGAAAACAATATGACAGAGTGGGGATTCACCATAAAAACACATGAGTATGCTGTAATGCTTATATGCATAAACAGTTCTGTTCATTTGCACAGAAGTTCCAGGTAAGCAAAGAAAGATCCCACTGGCACCATTGAGCAACCTGTGACAGCAGGTGGGGATCAACTAGAACCCAAGTGAATCTGATTTGTGGCTTCATATGCCCAATGGTTGAGAAGAGATTGCATCATCCCTCTCCTCAAGTGTTCAGAAAAGCAAATTAGATAGATGATAATAGCTTGGTACATGTTCAAATAGAGTAATGAACTTCACCCTTCAAGAAGTAGCCAGTCTTGAAGAACTGAAGAACGGTTAAAGAAGTTTTCATTATCTCATCACTTCTTCCTCCAAAGGAGCCAGACATACTTCTACAGACAAACCTAGGAGTCATTCATTCTTCAAAAACGACTTCTCCTGTAGAAGTTGTTGTCATTTGAAACAGCAAACTTGTAAATGGAGATGACTTTAGACTCCAAGAATTTTTCAAAGCCTGAATATACTCCATATGCTGACATTTGAAGAGTTCATATGCTTGGCTAAGCCTAATTGACTGAAACAGGTCTTTGTTGCAGCTTTATGCTGTTCTTATGTCAAGCAGACCCTGTTTCAGAATCCATTTCAGATCTTAGCAGATCTACTTCCTTATGCTACAGCTCATTAGATCTGCTTTGTTACAAGAATGCTCCAGACTCTGTGGGCTTTATGATCAATAGCAAACAGTTGTTTCAGGGGCTTCAAACATGGATAGTGCAAAAGTGCTGACTTGGATTGATTCTGCCTGGTCAGAAGTATGCAAGCGCCTTGCAAATGCTATTGTTTTCATTGATGATGCAATTGGGGAGTGTTTGCATTGGTCTGGAGGATTGGAAAGACTTGTCAAAGCAAGAGTATCTGGTGTCAGGAAATTCTCACCCTTTGAGGTTCAAGTTACTTCCTTTCCTTACCTTATGGGATGATGTATGAAGGGTCAGGCTGGTTCTTTACCTTATGGCTTCTATGTAGGGTGTTCCAGGAGGGGTGAAAAAGGCAGTATTCATCATCAAAGGTCCAGTGGTAGATGAAGTTCATAGCACCCTGCAGTCTCTCATCAAGAACACAGAGTTAGATTATGTCATTCTTGTTGTCTGCACTCCTGCACGAGTTCAATATTTTGCTCACTTTGGGTCCCAGACTGACTCTGAGGACAGAGTCAGGACTGTCATGGATTCCCTGGAGAAGGAAATTCTATCATGGATGGAGAATCCAGTCAGTTTCCCCTTGAGAGTTCTTATTTTCCGTCAGTTTCCCCTTGAGAGTTCTTATTTTCCATCAGTATCAATACATTATTTTTTAAATTTCTGATTCATATAGATGTCTACTGTGGAGGTTATGTCATCAAACCTAGTGCTGGTGTCACTCATGAGGGATGTTTATTTATTGCCCCCCTTCTCATCACTCTTTCCTTACACTGAAAGCCAGCTGAGGAAACTCAGAATGAAGCAAACACCCATGGTGGGTTCATGTTCTCATTAGCATTCAGGAAGAAGCTTCAGGGGTTCTTAATTCTCTCCTGTCCATTTCATTCACAGGACACAGCAATACATAATTCACCACTAGAGATTTGGCACCTCCCCAAAAGCATCCAGCTGAAGATTCGACATTTTGCTGCATGTTTGAGTGCTATGTTTGACAGCTTGAATGTTCGAGATGAGATCTTTGTTACTGGCTCTCTCAGTAAATTGGTAGCTATGGAGCTGCTAAATCTGCCAGCTGCACGAATGCGAAGAAAAGTTTGTTGCCACATTTTACACTCATTTCTCACGTGCTGCATGATATTATCATTCTTGTATTTTGCCTTAAAGATGGCAAAAGGTAGACTCAGCTTGGTGCTGGTGGACCGTACTCTGGACATGATGAGCTGTACAGGGCATGTGGATAAGACCATCTGGGACCGAATGGTCTCATTGCTCCCCCTATTTCCAGGCACATCTACTGACATCTGCATTAATATGACCCCTCTTTGCAGCACTGCACTGTGAGTCGTGCCTTATCATTTCACATTTGATCACTTTTTCTCATTTGCAGAGATATCATGCCTCTGGATTTTCATTTATGTCTTGCAGTCCTTCAGACTTCCCTGTGATAGTTCCAGGTTGCTTAGGGGAGATAGGATATGAGGATCCAAAGCTTCTTGAATTGCTTTGTTCCCAACCCTCAAGAGCCATACTTGAGAATGTCACCAAAAGATTAAGAGACACCCTTTGTGGGGAAAGTACGAGTAGTCAGTCACAGGATCTCATGAAGTCTCTCCAAGCTCAAATTCAGACAGTCAAGTCAAATTTTGAAGGTGTGAAGCAAAACATCAATCTCCTGCAGGTTAAAAATTTGTGTAATTTTGTCTCAGACAGCTATACATATATGCCAGTTTTTAATACAGGGCAATCCATGTTGCAGATATGCCTTGCCTTGATGGAAACACTGCAGCATCCAAAAAATGAACAACTAGATGGAATGGCTGGCCTGGAAAAGGTGCTGGTTCAGAACATTCATGAAGATCCGGAGGATTCTGTTAACCAGGTATTATCAGCTCCTGGGTCTAATTATTACTCATCAAGTCATGTGGCTGAACTTGATTCACTCTTGGTTGAAACTTCAGCTGTGTCTGCTGATACACAAGCACAGAGACAGAGGATTTGACCTGGATGACATCTTAGCACTCCTGACATACATGTATTCACTTCTTGGTGAGCAAATGGAGGAGCTGGTTGGGGAACCCAGATTGGAGTCAGCCCTGGGTGAAGCCATGTGGGAGCATAGAGCCTCACTCCCACCAATCATGGAAGCAATGGGTGAGGAGACCAACTCAAATCCTATGTTTAAACAATGTCATCAGCACAAAGTGGATTTTCATGAACAGAGTCAATGTCAGTTTTTTTTTTTTTTTTTTTAGAAGCAATGTATTCATTCAATGTTCTCTGAGCAGTGTGCCATTTTTTTCTTCAATCCTCTTTTGGCACCAGCCTATTTCCTATGAGCTTAACCACTCAACTGCTTGTTTTTTTTTCCATATGCCATTCCTGTATTGCTAGGTTTTTTAATGGTTCAATGGTACATTCTTTTCAAAAAATTGTTTAAATTTATTGGAACTTATTAGAAAATTGTATTATCTATTGAAATTTATTAGAAAGAAAAGAATATATGTAGAGGGTGGGCCAAAAAAAACTTCAGTTATCTTTAACACTTCACAGAATAGTTTCTCAAAAGTTTGAAAATACTGCAATAGTGTCTCTATGTAAAACATTTATCTAGCTTTGCACTGATGTCAGAAAATTTATGATCCAATCTGTCATTCTGACGCAGTTATGCAGTGTAACACAGGTAGCACTTTAGAAGTGCACTTACCAGTACCCTACAAGATGTGCTCCAGGGAATGCCCATTCCTTCGCTTGTGGCAAGTTGGCAACCTCTTGCATGCACTAGTTGCCATTACAGCATGGCATCAACTTTTCCAACTCCACCTCTTATACTCTTTATCTAACTGCATGAAAGTCATGCCACGAATCCTTATTCTGTTGACATCATTGGAAAGCTGAATGAATGTCCTATATAGAGGTGCTATTGCAATTTTAGCAAACTTTTGGGGACCATTGCTGTGAAGTGATAAAGATAACAAGATTTTTTTGGCTCACTTTGTATGTGATATAAGCAGATATAAACCAGTTCTGCATGGACAGGTATATACTCCCTAATCACCTGAAAGGTTAAGGGTCTAGACTGGCCAAGAGGGACTTGGTAATGTTCATGAAGGTTCAGAAACAGCCTGGAGCTTATTATTTGAAAGGGAGATGGATTCATACAAGGACATGGAATCAGATGAGATGAAAATGGAATATTACTGTTGCATTATTGTTATTGATTTGTGGATGGCATGAAGCATCTCCACAGAAGAAATGCCAGTCTGACTTATCAGCTATGAAAAGGTTCAGCTTTTCTCCCATTACCTAACATCATGGTGTAAGGAGTTAAATTATTGGATGTTCATCATTTGCAATTGGTGATGTCAAAGTTGGCGAGACAGTTGATGAGATGACCATTCATTTGGGTGCACAAAATATCTTCAGGATTCTTCGATCACTTTGCAGAAGCAGGTCCACCTTCACAAATTACAGGTGGGAGCAGTCACACTATTTTGAACAATGTTGCTGGCTACCCTCATGATTACATGTGAGTGATATTTTCTTCACCAGGAAGTTGCTTAATGAAGCATCAGAAAGTCATGCTGTGACAGTCACTGGACTTCTTGAACGCCTCCTGTATGACTTCCATAATTCAGACAAGAGGGACATCCCAGACTTGGAATACATGTCAGGAGGATTTGGGGACTTTCTCAAATCTGGTCTAGGGTGAGTAACTTCTGGAGCAATTTTGCCATGCTGAGATATATTCAATGATATGCATAGACTAAGTCCACCTGGAATCTAGGGTAGTCTAGATAATATTTGAAGAAGCACAACAACTCTTATCCTTGGGCAGAAACAGGTGTATTTTTAGGCTACTGCAGTAACCCAATAGATGCTACTTATTAGCAATCCTGATGAAGACAATATTAAGTTAACAACTTTTTCCCAGGAACCAGTTCTGCCCTGGTGACTTTAACACTAACAGATATTCAGTTATCGACAACTGCCATGCCATTTATTGACAACTTTTTGGCTGTGAGAATGAAGAGAGGTATCACTTAGGATCACACAAGTCAGACAGACTGACAAAAGTGCTTCCTGGCTGGTAACTTAGATTCTTGTAACTTATCTCTACACTGTGTTCCCTTATAAAAGTCATGGAAATTTCCATTCTGGTGAGAAAAAAAAAAGATACAGTAGCATTTTGTGTTTCAGCATACTGGCCTTTACCCATGGTATAGTTAATTGTGAATCTGTCATTTGTGAGGAGAGAGCATTATCAAGTATTATCTTTGTGTTCATTTCAAGGTTTTTCTCCAGCAAGACAAGGCCACATCCTGCTGACAATCATGACATTTTTCTTTTTGTCATTGGGGGTATAACTCCACAAGAGATCCAACATTTTCGGAGGATCATCAGAAAATCTTCATCTTCATTGCATGTTGCCCTCGGCTCAACAACACTCATCCATCCAAGAAAAGCTATTGAAAGTTTATTTTGTGCTGGAGAATTTTAGAGGTTTGCCCATTATGATTGTCATGTCTTGGGGTGGACTTCCAATGAAAGAATCGCTGAAATATAAGAAAGTATATATTTTATGCCATATTGATGTGATTTTATTTATATTCACAATAGTTCAGTTCTGAACATATGGATTTATTTTAAATATTACTTTATGAATCAGTTAGTCTATCCCTTCTGTCCAAGCCTTTGATACTCTTTGGAGGTATGCTTCCCATAATGGTTCTGCAAAAAAAAAAAAAACACAAACAAAACAAAACCTGTGGAAATGAAATAAAAGCAGAAAAGCAAAAATATTCCCAAGGAATGATGTTGCAACAGTTTGTCTCCCTGACAATGGTCTAAGGTACTCTTGTCAATCAACCAAAAAGGCACACAGAATAGGTGGTCAAAAACACGTTGTAGTTAAATTATTTGCTTTCAAACGAAAAATCATATTTACATATCATGATCAGTGCCATCCCTCTGCCTTTGACATTGGCGGAGGAGGGGGCATCAGACAGGGCATAATCTTGTAACTTCTTCAAAAGGAGCATTTATGGATCAGGGGTGTCCTACGTGGTAAGTGCAGTCCACAGGCCAGATCCATCATGTCACACGATTTGCATTCAAGTAAATAAAATGCTGGTAGGATTGTATTTTTAGCGTTCTTTATATTTCGTTTCACATTTCTAAAAAAATGTTAATAAATTTTTTGCCATCCATTCTAAAATATTATTTTTACTTCTCGTGTGGCTGCTTCAAAACTTTGGAATTTCCTGTCATATCTTGATAACTTGATATCCAGAGTGTCTGATATAATAATAATAAAAATAGTTCGCAATATTGCGAATGACGAATCAACATTAATAAAAGGCTTCCCCCGCATTAAAGAAGAAAAACTGTTATCATTACATAGGCAGTTTTCTAATATATGCAGTAGACGAAATTCACATGTGGCCCCATGGCGAGTAAATTAACTTCCATCATCGCGTTATTGTAAACATGGGTGCCTTTGGGATAGCAGTTTTTGTCTTTGAGGTATTAAAGTCCTGGTCAAGGTACTAGCAGAAATATAAGTAGAGGCGAACTCCTGGCCATTCCACTGATTTACCTCCCGCCAAATTATACAATAAGTCAGAAAAATCACACTACGAAGTGACAATAATTTTTCATTAAATTTCACTGGACAATTGGACATTGCCCAATCATGATGACTGGACTAGCTCAGACCAGGGATTTTGGTCAAACTTCGATACAAACGATATTTGGTAAAGCTGTTAACTTTAATCGATTAGGCGAATTTGTATAGACTCCAATCTCTCCTTGAACGTCCTTTTCTCTCTTTTCGAATTTCATTGCATTGTGCCGAGTTTTGATGAAGAGCTAAAATGATTGGAATCCGATGAAATAATGACTTAGAAGCAAGCAGTCGTTCTTTGAGGCTCACTCCTCGACGAATAAATATGCGGTCTTACTTTCAAGTATAAGAACATAAATACAACGCTTTCCATATGATGGAAAATGAAGCTAGGTCTTCGTGAGAAGGTGAAAAAAAAAGACTTTTCCATTTCCAGTTCATTCTGAGCCGTAACTGCTGTCCTACAAAGTTGCAAAACATGTGGAAAGTCGGGTAAACTTGAATGGACATAGGACGTGGTGGGGACACCACGCAAAACGTACAATAATTGAAAAGAAAAAAACAATAAAATGCAGGAAGGGGCATCTGAGTCATATTCTTCTCTTCCACGTGGAACTGATTATTCATTTTATTCTTTGCCTCGTCCTTAAGCCTGAAGTCGAAGGCTTCAAGACGCCATGTATTGAAGACTTGAATAGTCTTAATCTCCCAGCAATCGTGACTCGGCTCGTAAGAGCACGAAGTGTTACGGTGGGTGCACAACAATGGCGGTTGGCGAGGGTCGTTCCTAATATGGTGCGGATTTTACTCGTTCATGCAAGCTGAGGGATTCCCATCCCATGCTGAGTCATACAGGTCCATCCTTACCTGGATGACTGCTTTCACATTCGTGTCTATTAGAAAATGCCACGTCCGCTCCGATCAGGTCTGCTTCAGTATACGCCCTTAAGCATAGCGTGGATGGAAAAAGTGGAAACTCTAGAAAGCGGTTATAATGCACTTCACGCCTCTTTTCCTCCTTACTTGTGGGGGAAGGGGGAACACGTGCCCCCACCCCAAACGACATTACGTCGCTGTGTACACCATCCCCTTCAAAGCATGGATATAAATCCAGTAGGAAAAAACGCTCCGGTCCGGTCAACAGCTGCCTAACGATGAGACATATTTCCGGCTATTTGATAATGAAACCAAACGAGGAAACTGGTCTCTAAACACGATAATTTCCTAAGCTTTTATATGTGGCGGAAACGACTGGCAGAGGATGGTGACGCTAATACAAAATGCAGTTACTGGATCACGATAAGTAATCGGGTGCGAGTCAAAAGACGAAACGAAACGAAAGGAAATGATATGAAACACGAAAGACGATTCCCTTTTCCTTCCTCCACAGAAGAGTGTTTTTCTTTAACCCTTTCAGACCTGGTGTCCTTTCAATGGATATTGCATTTTCATTGTATCTATGGTAATTTCTTGGGATACTCATGACTTTGCACCCCATATTACACTACAATGGGCGCAATTATGCAGGGCTATATTCTATCGTAGGCCTTCTTTTACCCATCAGTTTTGTCATCTTCAGTTATGTAATTAATTATGTATGGTATGATATGGTAAATTTATGCAAAGTATAAAAACGATATATAGAACATTAAAAAATGTAATAACAATAGCAAGGGAGAGCAAAGAAGGAAGAGGGGAGTTGGGCAGGGCCATGGGACTGGAGAGGCAGGAAAGAGGATAATGTAAAAACTGGGGAGTGAGAGGCGTACGTGTAAGTGCACCAGCTTATATATTATTCCGATAGTGGCCTTAAATCAGGTCTGAAATGGTTAAATAAAAAGGAATTCACCATAACATACTGCTCTAGGTATTCTTCCCTGGGTGAAGTCTTGAGTGCCGTATTGAAAGCGGTTCTTCAGCTGAGGTTTTCTGCCCACTCCAGGAATTGCTTCACCATCACAATCAGTAAAGAAGCATTGTAGCCTCTTAGCCCGTTTGCACTTCTTAGATAGGGTAGGGTAAACACCCCGGTTTCTGGCCGGTCCCCAGTTGTTGGCCAGTGAGGCTTAAATCCAGCATAATTAGTTAATCTGGCCGTTTTCAAGCATTCTATCAACATCTCGTACGAGAACCTATTACTTGTGTTTCCCGGTGTGCGCACAGGGTGTCCACTTCCTATGGGAGTCGTATCAGCGTGGCCAAAAACTGGGGTGTTTACCCTAATAGACCAGAAAATAAAGCTACCAGCAATCACGGCACTCCTTGGTGCTGCGGAACACATATTGAGAACCGAAGCAGCAGAGCTTGCTTGGATATCGCAGGAAAACAGATAGCATGCATGTGTCAAGGACAGCATGTACTTTTCCAGCTCCCTTTATCCTCATCGTGTCCGAAGCCCAAGAACACTCCACGCAAGCGAACTGACTGATCAGATCAAGTATTGTTGTATTGGGGATAGCAGGGAGAGCAATGACCGTTCAGAATGAGCTTGAAATTGTATCTTTAAAGGCTGTCAATCGATTAGATAATTTGATCGATTAATCGCGTTTTAATCGATCATTTGGTTTCTCCTTGAATCATGTCCTAGGCTTTGGGAATGATTCTGCTTGTGTCATCCCCAACACCTAGGCGAGCCTCAGGAAGTGACTCAAGACGATGCAGACGCTAGCATAAGCAGTTACTATCCATACATGCACTAGTTCACCCTACAAGTGACACATTCCAGCCGGAAAGAAAATAGTTACAACTTAGCCAGATAAATAATGAAACGTAAGCAAAGAAGCGCACTGATGCCCTTTGCCATTTAGCCAACCCATAACGGAAGAATGCAAAAATGTAACCTAAGTGAATGGACGTATACTGTGACACTTCATTACGCGGAGATTTAAAGATTTGTTAACGATTTACGGCAAAACAGGATGGAAGAGAAATCATAGGAGCCAACAAGGAATAGGAGAGGGTTGGCTAAATGCACTTCTCGCGCTTCTCTCGCCTGCGCCCGGCTTTCCCCTTCTTTACTTTCAGGGGCTCCCACAGACGTTCGCTGGTGCACTTACACGTACGCCTCTCACTCCCCAGTTTTTACATTATCCTCTTTCCTGCCTCTCCAGTCCCATGGCCCTGCCCAACTCCCCTCTTCCTTCTTTGCTCTCCCTTGCAGCTTCTTCATTACGACTTTCATTTCCCCATTCGCATCCAGTGACTTTTCGGTCGTTCTGCCCTAGGCCGCTGTCACCTTAGCCTGACGAGCGAGGCCTGCAAGGCTATGCCTTTAAAGGCCGTAGGCTATGCAGAAGGACACGAGATGCGTACCAGTACGCTTGTGGATGCGAAGGAGTCAGGAAACTTTTTTTTTTAAGTCTGAAAGCGATGGCTTTGTTTTTGTGTGTTCCCTTTTTCCAAAAATAGTATGTCGTTTTGAGGAAGAATTAGCAGTGCGAAAACGACTACCTTCTATAAGCCATCATTTCATTTCATTCCCTTGATAAAGCATTCATTTTCGGTTGTTTTGTAAAACTATGAACTACACGGTAAAATTATAAGGGGAAAAAGTGGCATTCAGGGGGAGATTAGGGGATCGATTAAAATTCGATTAATTTAGACTAATTTTTCTAATCGCGATTAATACCTTAATTGATTTAATCGAATGGTCGATTAATATATATCGAAGAACTCGAATTGACAGCCCTAGTATCCTTCATTCGCCACATTCGAATCGGAAGGTGGGGGCTCAAATAATGTTTGAATGTTTGACTAATCGATTGGCAACCCGGATGCACCATTCGAAAAAAAGCGATGAAGAAACAGCGGGCGGGACGAACCCTTTCGTCTTTCCTCGGTAGCACTTTCTAATCTCCAGCAAATGTGAAGTGTATTCTATATTGAATCAAAGGAGACAAACATAACTTTCTCAACAAAATATATTTTGTCATGATCGCAGCACGAAATCTCGAGCAATGAACGAGAATAGCGAGAGCCTTTTCGGCTCAAGACTTGCCGGTTTTCGTCGGGAATAGGATATTAAGGTATTGAATAATACCAGCTTTTCCATAGAAATGACAGCTACCCACTGTTTCACTAGTGACACAGACCTTGTCAACACAAACCTCAAGGAGATACTTTTGATCTTTCGAGAAATTAGGCACAAAACTATCACTTTAAAAGGTAGATAGCCATTATCAGCGCATAAACTTGAAAGCCTGAGACAAAGGCTGCATAACTGCGCACCTAGGTACAAAGTTGTACCTTACAAGATATGGGAAAAGAAAATACTCCTGACTTTTAGCTTATATATTTCCGATCTTGGCTGAAACTATTTTGATGAAAATATAATCGAAGTTCGTTTTGCCACAAGGGTAGGAGTGATTATTAAAATGAAATTCGGAAAGGAAAATATACAGGAAATTCCACCTCCTCTTATACAAGCAAGGGGGAAATCTGAAGAAACCTTGAACAAACTCTCCATATTGATACCCTTTGATCAATCAATTACGTGAAAGTTTTATCAAAACCATCTACATGAAAAGGTTAGTTCAAAGAATGAATCTTAATGAAAGAGATGTTTCATGCGACCTGGCTGAAATGCGACCAATACGTGGATTACCTCCCACTCGACCACCAGCATCGACTCCTGTCCATTTTCAATGTCAAATTTCTTGAGAATAATTGTTAATAGCCTTGCCTCGGCACAATACACAAGTATTTTTTAAATTTACAATATCACGTATAGCTGCAATTAGAGAATCCCAACGCAAGGCACAAAAAATTCGGGGAGAGCTTCTCTCATGAGAAAAGGCTTAATTAAGCACGCTGATTGGAATGGTAATGGAAAATCGGATCACAATCTGATGCACATGGCAGAGCTCATGTGAATGAGGTTTCCTCCTAGTGGATTCTTTTCCGAGAAAGACTTCTCGTAATCCCATCCTTTGTGTGAGCGTCTGTTCCCATCGATTTTCCGAGGGTAGCTAGTAAATATTGCCTTGATAGTGGTGGGAATTGGCATGTGGACGTAACAGACCAGACACGCGCTAATACCTTTTCTGCTGAAATTCATGCGAAGAAAATATTATTTGAATACTTTCCAGTTTGATAATGGGTCTCGAGCATAGAAGCAGTGCATGGAGAGATAAGTTCATCATACGTCAACTCATTTATTGGGTAACGCAAGAAAAAGCCAACGACTTTTAAATCCATAAATCTCAGCTCCCATTTGGTTATTCCCTTGGCTTACGTCGAAGAATGAAGTAGGTGGAGTACTAGTCGTTCAAAAAGGGATTCCAGTCCACTCAACTTTTGACTTAAGAATTCAACAACTTTTAACCATCACCCATAGCCTCGCTCTGGAAACATGAACTTGCATGAATCCTTAAAGGTCTGTTTGGAATAAATCAAAACACGCATTGCAATTTTCGCGAAAACAACTCCATCGAGGGCAGATATACCAGGTGAGGCAAAAAAAAAACGCGCCACTCTTTGATATTCATTGGAGTTCATGAGATAGGAGATACCATGACAATTTTGTTTGCAACGACTTCTACGTATCCTTGAAACGTCCAAAAGTTCTTGTTCGTTTTTCTCCAGCCGTTTTAGCACAGGAGCGAAAACGCGAAAGCGACTCAAATTTTATTTTTGTGCGAGGAAACTTATCAGCGGAAGAGCAGTTGGTAGGCGTGAAGCGCACAAATTTCAGGCTAAAGTTCCTCCATCTCCCCATGAAAATCCTGCTCTTTGGGAAAGGATGGGGTGGGCAGAACTTTGCAAGAATTTTCTGGTAAAGGATGAAAGAAATGTAGGATTTTTGTTGAGAGATTGATTCACAAGATGCGAGGAACCATCTTATCTGAGAGGAACCGAAGGAACGGAATACTAAAATTAGCCGGAACTGAAGGAAACTGCGTTCATGTGAAAGAAGTTGTGCCAAAACGGCTGGAGATAAGCCCAAAATTTTCGAATGCTCAAAGTATGCGTAGAGGTGTGCATGAAAGGAATTTCATAGTTCTAGCTGCTGTTTTAGAGGTGCCATAATATTTCGAAGAGCGGCGCGGTTTTTTTTTGGCTCACCTGGTATATAGGTTAATATTCCTAAGATCGAGTGAGTGAATGACTGACAAAAGTTGCTGGTGTACAGAGTTCAGAAAAAATCGTACTTTTAAGGTACATGTACATTAAGGAAAATGTTTTGCTTGAGCGAAACGGAAACATAGAAAGCTGAAAATTGGTACATAGGTACCTGTTGATATGCAACTTCAGAAAATTCCTTTCAGGATACATCCCCTGGGGTATGTTTTTTGAGCTGGATATTATCAAAAAAATTACTTCGTTCCAGTGAAACGGGCAGATATAGAAACGCTGAAATTTAGTCAACATGTAGTTCTGTCAATGTTGATTCCTGTGAAATTTCTATTCTGGCAACTTGGGGCCCTTTTCTCTGGGAGAGAGTTTTCCCGAAAATCTTTCTCTTGAACAAAACGGTTCTTATAGTTGTGTTATAAAAGCTACTGTACAAAGGAAAATTTCCAGGGGAGATATTTTGCAGGAAGCTTAGAATCTCCCTTAATTTAATGTTGTTAACTTCAAATTGATAGTGACTTCGTATGACCCGAAGTAACATGACGTCACAATGAAAAATGCCTGATATCAATGGAGTTAAAACTTCAGAAGCTGTGGGAAACGAAAGCACGACCATTGTCTAATATATAGGCTAAAAATCATTGATCTTTTTCATGCCATACCGTGAAAATGCCGCGGCACCTCACACTACCCTCCATCTTGCTCTCCAACAGTCCAACGCCACCACTCTTTTAAGTGTTTCTGAATTCGAGCCAAAAGATAATATCATGAAGAGATTGACTAGTGGGATTGAATTATGATTCAGAAACATAATGAGACAGCATTTTCTTCATTGATGTAACATAATGAAGCACCTCCTTTCTGCATAACGGCCAACTCCTGGGTTGTGATTTCCCAGTTTTTTAACATTGCTTCTACGGGGTTTGGACCATTTTCCGTTTACCTCAATTGATGCATTTGCCAAATGCAGGCTTGTGTTAATAGGATTTTACTGTGTTTCCGTGCATGTCTAAGCAACCCTGCCTTCAGTCACATGGGCAGCTATTATTTTTATGGATAAACTGTAGACAAATCTGAGTTCTTGGCTTTTATTTTCTATCATACTTTGAGATAAGCCAATGGTTTGACTGCATCATCGCCACCTCCTCCATCACCTGTGCGAATCAGAAATCACATACACTTTGATTAGACACTAACTCGATCATCACCAATAAAAAATTGAGACTATCTGTTTATCTTCCAGTCTATTTACCAGACTTCTGACGTCAGATCTCCCCGTTGAGCAAGGGGGAGGGAGGGGGGGGGGGGGATCAGGAATAGGGTGTGGAGAATGGCAGAAGCAGATAGTGGGTCCATAAACAATTCAAGTCAGCTGGTTTCATGACATCACTTTTGGCAGGCTTCTTCAAGCCCTCAGTGACTTGGATTATGAACACACACATAAAGCACTTTTCCTGGGTGTGAGGTTCAAAACAGGCAAGGAGGGAGAGACATGCCACTGTTGATTGAGAAGCTCCTTCTGACTCACTCACCCACTCACCCCCTACACATGTTATTTTCTTTAACAAACTATACCTAGCAAAAGTAATATTGGTATCTGAAAATTGGCATTTACATTAAATATTTACATTGTATTTATATTATGTATACATTTCATATTTTATTTATACAGTCAACTCTGCATATTGGAATACTCACAGGACCAGCAAACTTTATTCTATAATCCAGTGTATTCTAACAACTAAAATTATCTGCTGTATCATACCTTAAATCAGGACTGTGCAAAGGTATTCCATTATGCTGAGTCGACTATATTTGCATTGATGTGAACAATTTAATGCAAATTTCATATGAATTACATTTTTAATTGCATTCTGATCTGAATTACATTGTTTAAATCATTTTGAAATAATTGTTTTTTCCTGCTTCAATACTAGACTAGACTTTAACTTGCCATCCTGGGCCAAGCAAAGAAATTGTCAATATACAGTCTACTTCTACAAATACTTCAAGATTGTACTTGAGGCCATGAGACACAGCTGAGGAATATGAGTGCAGCCATACTTGCATCAATAGCGGTGTTCACCACATAGCAAGAGCAAAATTTCAAAACCCAATTTTAAAATCCTAGTAGACATGGATTAATGATCAGTCCTAACAGAATTTACAGCAGACCATAATTCCCTCATTAAATATCACTAAGGGAAGATAATCTCTAGCTGAAATATCATGAGTGCATAACAAGATGTTGTTTCAACCTATCCCACCAAATAAAAATCTTTACACATCATAGAGCTGGCATTAGCAAAGAAATTCAAAGATATCCAGTCTCACAGGATCTATTTATAGCACACTTTGGTAACTTTGGAAACTATACAAGATTTTCAAAGTGTAATTCCCTATAGAATGATATGACCTAATGGACAAACATAAATAAAATACTAACCAGCATCAGTGTGAAAAGGTGAAGACAATTCCATTGCTTTCATTCGCTTGTTCGAATCGTCTAAACTTCGAAGAACATCATAGTTGATCTTCGTTGAGATCTTCTTTTCCTGAAGCATCATCTCTATAGCTTCTCCAGCTGATGAGGCATGAATTGGAATCCTTCTCTTCCTCTTAATCTTCTTCTTGACTCCTTTGGTCTTCTCTTCTTCTGCAAGTTTTCGAGCTTTTTCCTCTTGTTCCTTCAGATAATCTTCATTCAGCTTGAGCCATAAGGACTGCTTATACCTGACTTCCTTAGGACTCAAAATGTATGAATCAATCTCCTCGTCATTGATACCATCAAGGTTAAGTTCCCCAGTTCCTGCATCATTGTCCTCATCAAGTGCGACTTTTGTTGCCATAGGATCCTCTGAAGATGCCTGTGCCATATCTGGCTTCACTATACCAAGCATTTCATCAGATGGCCCCAATCCTCTCAATACAGGAGGTGGGGGAGGCATCAAAAGTCTATCATCATCCCCATCAAATTCTGAATTACCACCTAGGACACACTCCCTCACTGTTTTCATGGTCTCACTTTCCATAAAGTTCTGAATAGATTCCAAGTCTATTTCACCACCATCATCCAGCTCTTGTGCAAATTTGGACCATGGTCCTTTACGTTTCCTTGGCTTATCTTCCAGCATGATTTCTATTTCTTTCTGAAGCTGGAGCAACTCTTGATCAATGTTGCTTGAGGCATCCAACATTTTCTGGACGCGGTCCTTGTACCGAGCCACCTTGAATGAAGGAGGATCCTGTTCTTCCTCCAAGTCAATAGTCATGAATTCATCCAGGGTCAAGTTCCCAGATGGAGTCTCTCCAAATTCCACCAATCTCTTCTTAATGGTGACACGAGCTACCTTTACTACTTCCACAATATCCTCTATTGTGCGATTGAAGTCATGGAGACGTGCTGCAATCAGCAATGCTGCACCACACAAGCCTGAAGGACGCCTACCAGTGTGAAGCCAATCTCGCTTCATCCGCTGAACCAGCCGAGCAGCAGTCATTGAGACTTCATGCATCTTATCACCAAAGTCCAACTTATTACAGAATCGCAAGATATAGACACATGGGTCTAGGACAGGGATATTGATATGCAAGGCATTGGAGAATTTCATATATGTCCGCCCAAGATCATATATGTCGGCCTGCACAGCATCACTGAAATCAATCAGCATGTGTGGAGTGCCCTCCGTCCTGCATGTGATGTATACACATGCAGCTATCACAACATTGTTACGACGACCATGCGTGAGTCTCCTATGTAGTGCCATTTTGAAGAAATTGAAAGCTGTTTCCATGCAGTGTTGGTTGAGGCGAAGCTGTTGACAGAGCTGATTGATTTTTTGGCGTGCATTGCGAAGGGTGATTTCCCTGGATTCCTTGCCGATGCCAGGATGGAAACCAGACAAACCCTTCCCTTTTGCTTTCCCATCTGCTGATACAAACTGACCAATTGCAGAGGCACCTCCATGAGCATTCTCCTCAAAGAGAACCTCCGAAACAATGATGGAATCTTCAAGCACCGAGCCACAATTGGTGCAGACGGCATCACCACGTGCGGGATCAGTGTCAATGTCACTGCTCCCACACTGGTTACATGTCATGCTTGACATGGATGCCATCTTTTCTACTGGAAATCAGCTCATTCCAACCTCATTGTCAAGTCCATGTATGAAGTCCCCCTGCTGAGAAAATCATGCATTACTGCAAGTGCCTTATGGAACACTGCTAACCTCATAAATCAGAACACCATTACTTCAGGTCAGACAATATCTGGCATCTGGCAAAGATAATGCCATGTTGCTGAACAAGCAACTACCAGTGAGTTTCAAAATGTAGGCAATAATAATGGCATGGAATTTCTCATGAACAAAACACTTCATATTCAGACATGATGAAAAATGATGCCACAAATTGAAAAATCAATCTTTAATCACATGGGGCCAGATCTATCCCGGCTTTGTCGCTTCCAAAACCTCTTCACATCATCATGTCCTACCCTAGTCACCACCATTGTCCTCTTTTGCTCATTATCCCAGATCAACACTCCAAGATCCCGACTGTAGTTTCTGAGGAGCTCAAAGTCACTCTGAGACAAGAAGTGGTTGTACAGCACTCCTTCTGCGAATGTGAAGCGATCTCTCTCTATTTCCCATAGCCTGATCTGGTCAGCTATTGTAGGAGGAATCACAGGGTTATGCTTCAACATCTGAGGATGAGCATGGAGTCTGAGGAAGCTGAGGATTTGATCAGCTGTTATGCCACTCCTTAGTGCTTCTCTAACACTTTCACGAGTCAGGACACAGACGGTCAGGTTTGGAAACCTTCAAGACAAACCCAGCAGTTTTTGTTACTCACAGTACTCAGAAAAAACACATAAAATCAAGAACAAGAGGTATTTCCATGGATATATAATAAATATACCTAGACTGCACCACACCATTGAAAAAGCCCACACTGAGTGTGCCAATGCAGTAGTCTTTCATGGCTGGCCAAGTAGGGATTGGTTATGTCCAATCCATGTTTCACTCCTCTATTTAGATGCCAGAAGACTCTTTTTTTTTTTTTTAGACTTAACCCTTTGAGGAGTATGAATGTACTGGTACATCCACACTCCCAAAAGGTTCAAGAAAACTTGCTTCTCAAAGGGTTAAAAGCCTGTGCATGTTTAGGTCAAAAACATCAGGAAACAAATCAGTTATAATTTAGGAATAGAAATAAATACTAGACAGTTCCTTCAATAATTTTACAGGCCAAGGCTTGACATCAAACAAAGTACCCTTTAAAGATCTAAATTAGGGCTGAAATAGTACTTATACTGAAGTGTTATACAGCAAAAATTGTTAATGCTGCATTAGAAAAATGATGAATAAACGTTTACTCTCTGTATAAGATCAACTAATCTACTGTGTTATCAGTAGGGTAAAACCATCCAAGTTCAGACAATACCTAAGTTTGGGCACCATAAAATAAATTATTATAAAACAAAGCATTTCTGAGGTCACCATTAGAAACAGTTCTTCCAAGTTGCAAAGAACTGTTTCTGAGGGAGAGCTCACCAATGATTGGTTTTGTAATAATGTACATGATAGTGTCCAAACTTAGATGGTTTTACCGTATCAATCATCAATTGCAAAAAAGAAAAATTAGCATGGAACAATTATAAAAATTATCAATTCTAAACAGACACAAGCTAGTACTGTTACAATGAAAATTTCATTCCTAAGTAACTTCTACACGAGCCCTTCATAACTGGATTCTGCAGTTCCTAGGGATGGAAACTGATGCCATAAAAGCCAAAAAAGAATATCTGCTACTTATTGCAAGTCACTTCTGGAGTAATTTTGCAATTTCAACTGCATAAGCAATTACTCATCCTCAGTCATATGGTACACACCCAAAGAAAACCACCAAACCAATGTTCATGCAACTTGAGATGTTGCTTGTGAGTAAAGGACTGACAGAGAATATAATCTGAAATGTGGCTTAAAACAAGCATGGATCGCAAGATAGCAGATGAAGTAAGTCTAGGGAAAATGCGGGGTCTTATTTCTCATGCATCTATGGTGAAAACTCAAGGTGATTGAAAAAGGACATTAAATTTTACCTGCACATGACTTCAGAGAAAATTCCAAGCAGGGCAATTTGGAGTTCAGAGTCTGTGTAGGCATATACACGATAATTGGTCTCCAGCATGATGTACCCAGGTCGATGTCCATCTCCAATGACTTTGTTATGGCCACGAGCAATGTTGAGAGCCAAGCGAGTTGGATAAAAGCGACCAGAACTTCTCTGCACACAACAAAAGCAATTCAGCAGTCCCGTTCTTTCATGGCAACAGCATTACTATGGATCTAGCTGAAAGAAGTGCAATCACCTTTCTCTGGTAGACAAGGCCAAATTCACGCAAGTGTTGAAGAAAACCTAAAGTGGTTTCACTTAAACCATCAGTGCTGTAATCCTGGAAGTAATAATCATGAATACTTGCATCCCAGATGAATGAACGAAAAAAGAAAGGATAATGGTTGCAATTCTGGCACATGAAATTACCATGCCCAATGTGGAAAAGCTGAGCTGGAAGAGAAAATTGAGGCATTCTGTCAGGTTCATTCCCCGGGCTTCCAGGGTTCCAAGATACTCCAACATGAAGTACCAAACTTGTGATGGGGTATCCAGCAACAGAAACTGGAATCCATCAGCTGTGATGGCTGGTGTTCCATCTGTTTCACTCCTTCAACACAAGTTTTCATGGAAAAATCCTGGTTACAGATGGTTGGCTGTGATTGGAAGTGTCACAGTGGAGTGAAATAGATACAAGTCAACTCACGGCCTCATGAGTCCAGCATGCAAGAGAACTTTAATTGCCCCTGCAGACACCCCCTCCTGTTGCTGACAGTCAACCATATAATGAAGCATGCATTCCCATCTCTCCATAGCATACTTATCAAGGAATTCCACTGTCCTTGGGTAGGGATCAGGTTCTTCTTTTTCTAACAATGTCCACGATGTGTTGCTGAAAAAGCATCGATGAGGTTGAAACTTCTGTAACAGAACAGAGCAAACCTTGATAGGAAAGAGAATACAGACATACCTCTTGAGAAGTGCGACTCGAAGATTCTTCTGGAATGTTGGATTCAGCATAAACTCTTGAACAGACTTCTTGATTGGACTCCAGATCCGAAGTACTGTCAAAGTTTCAAATGCCTCCATCATTTCTCTGGAGAAAAAATCATGAGTTCCAATGTCATTTCCTCAACATTTTTCAAAGGAAGCATACTGGGATGATCCACAAAGTGAACTTACTTGACCAAGTTTTGCGATACCCATGATGAGATGACAGTTCGGACCACTGGCTGCTCCACAAAGAGTAAGCGCATCACAAAGTGCTTCCCAAGCTTTGGAAGATCCCTGTAAGATAAATGATATTGGGTTCTCACTGTGTATATATGACTTCAAATTTAACCAAACATTACTCTCAAGGCCTTCATACCTGAAGACAGCTAAACATGTTGCTGGACTTCTGTATACCTGCTCCAAAATTTCATGAGGTAGTGTTCTGAGGTATTCATGCAAGTTCTTGCATTTGAGATGTTTGCTACTGGCACTTGCTGGGAGTGCTACAGACGTCATCTTTGTTCAATGTAGAAAAGGCAATGTTCACACATGCTGAAACAGTATCACTCGTGTAATCTAAATCCATTTTTCATGAGACTTCATCCTGATTAAGTTCAAGCTTACTTTATTATATCACTCAATTTTTCAATAATGCAAGTGGTCAAGATCAGCCTATAGCTTGTGAGTTGTAATAGCCATGACCAGGCAAGAATGACTTGAAAATGACAATGTTGAGCACAGGAGACATTTTAAATCTCTCCCATGGCCAAAAGAAATCCCTGTCCAATGCAATGAAGGCATACAAGCACAAGAACCCCAACTCACTACTTAAATAGGCTGTCATGGAGAATAAAGTCATTACCCTTGATTGGTCATTAAAAAAAGTAATGACTTCAGAGATATAGTTATGTGGTATTCAACTCATTCTATTAATGATTGAAGATAGATCCCAGAGATTTATGGATTTTGTTAGCCATGATGCATCCAGGGGATTTATGCATTTTTTGCAACTGTTCCAATGGGAAATTTCTCTGCCATCTGTGGATGAGGAGGTAAAACTTAATATGCATACAGTCATAGCATTTATGCTTACTTGTAGAGCCAGTAAAAATTAGCATGTGACCAATCACATAAATAACTTCTGATCCAAAATATGAAAGGAAGTATGGCATTAACTGATTTCCTCCATAGTCCTCCCTCTAAGGCCTTCAATGTTCAGTTACATTTCCTTGTACTGGAGTTACATAGTTACACGCAAGAAAATCTGTAGGCCACAATAATAAACAGCATTCATTGAAATAAAGAAACTTAAAGAGCAGTATTGAAGGAGTCAGTGGGTGGCAGGACTTCTGTCAAGCACACATGAAGAGCATGTGAATTTGATAAATTAAACTTAGCCATGTGGTCATTTTCTGTAAAAAAAAAAAAAAAAAAAAAAAAAAAAAAAAAAAAAATGGATGTACCAGTACATTCATACTCCTCAAAGGGTTAAGTCTAAAAAAAAAAAAAAGGAATGGTACACCTAGGTTCCTTGAGTACTTGCACAGAAAATAATGGACTACCAAAAAAAAATCAATTCCAATAGACTTTGCAACTAAGAATGTGAAATTAAATATTACAAAAGGATGGCTTCCAGGCACCCTCAGTCTCAATATTTAAAAAACTTGATGCAATTATTTAAATTATGAGAGTGAGTTTAATATGCATGTGCAGCTCTTTTTATCTAGTACTAAAGTGTAGCATTTGGGTAAAAAGAATCATTGTATATGAACCTTTTATGACCTGGTGTATGAGCACATGACACAGGGAAATTTCTCTGCTGAGCATATATATCAGTTTTATTTGCCAGAAATTAAAAGCATTTTTCAAAACAGTGCAACCTTGCACTTAACATACAAATTAACCATGATACCATCTTTCTCTAAAGCTTTGTCAATCCTTGCTTGGGCAGTTTTTTTTTTCCAGTACTTGCTATGGGATGAAATGAACCTTCTAACAGCATGATTAATTTGCATCAATTTCATCACAAGGGAGTCCAAATGAAGGTTTATGGATGTGGTGCTTTATACTCAAGGTGGGACAAATAAGCCACTTGAGGAAAAAAAAAACTGGCACACCATCTTGTTGCGATTGCTTCAAACTACCATGGCTTCAGAAAAAATAATATACTTGACAGTTCATATTTTTCAACCTTTGACTGCCCCCCCCTCCCCACCATGAATTTCGAAATCCAGACACAGTAAAAAATTGTCAAAACTAAATCATCAAATTACCTGACTCTGTTGGTCCCAACCCCCCCCCCTCTGTTTTGAAAAATGCTTTTAATTTCTGGCAAATAAGCCACTTGAGGAAAAAAAAAGGCAGGCTATTGTCTCAGACTATCAAGGTTCTGAAAAAGACAATTTCTGGTGTGGAGAGATGGATCCATTTCCACCACAATGATAGTTACTCTTGAATACTTCAAGCCAGCTCCACAGAGTGATGCCAATTAAACTTCTCAGTTATAAAAGTTAAGACAGTGTACTTCTATGCAGATTAGAATTGAAACATATGGAACTGCCAATGTAATCAGATTGCTGTTCTCACACAATCTTCTTCATTTTCATGAAGGTGGCAGAGTGTTCATGTATATTAAGTATTTTATACATCAAATGAAAATGCACTGAAAGGGGAGACCAGTGGGGGATGAAGAATTTTATCATATTTTGCCTATAGATACATTAATATGTCAGTACATAAATAAAATGAAAAAGAAGAAAGGAATGTGGGGTCATGTCTCTCCTTTTGTTTTCTATAGTAAGTAAAAAAATTGCATTGAGTAACATAACTACGTAAATACCAGAAGGCACCTGGAAGGACTTCCATTTTACAAATGGCTTAGTGGTGGAATATTCTGTGGAATTAGTAGAAAGACTGCTCCAACATAAACTCAAGCAAGTACCAAGCCTGGAAAGGAATGAAAGTTTTTTCAATACTATATACCAGTGATGCGCAACACGTGGCCTGCGGGCCACATGCAGCCCACGGAGACCTTTTTGTGGCCCTTTGGATGCCTCCGATCTCTAAAGAACCATATTAATACGCTACTGATTTCGGTTCATATTCGAGGGCCACAGGCCCTCAAACCCCTCAAACGAGACGAAGTCTCAATTTGGCCCTCTAGGGGGAAAAGGTTGTGCACCACTGCTATATACCAAACATATAGCAAGGTATCAGGTTAGAGGTTTTGGTTGACTCAATCCATCAACTCTGTTTCAATGCCCATCACTACTTAAGACATTATTTTGATAAATTTAGTTTAAGAGGGTTAGTAGCCCTATAACTGTCATTCAACAATGAGAACAGAATAAAATTTACTGCATAACTGTGTTATTTGAGGCTAAGGGATTAATATAGATGATTGAGAATCCTCAATGCTCAATTACTGACCACAGTCTCATCAGAAACCAGGTCACAGCCAATATTTTAACAACCCCTTTCTATTTCATTGATTTGGGTGGAACAAGACAAGAAGAAGAACAAGACAAGACAAGATATTGGCATCAGAGCATTTCTAATCCAAACTGCCCCCAAGTAAAAAATATTATACCCTTATCCCAAAATTGAACCTTTTTGCTATCCTATCCCTTGAATCCATAATGTACATAATTTCTAAAAATGGGAACATTATAAATTCAAGTCAGATAATTCCAAAGAATTCTTCAAACGACTGATGCTCCATGCCTGCTGGTGATGCTGAAAATGACCATTATCTATCCAAGTCTCAGCATATAAAATTCTAAAAAAACTCATGCAAACCTTTTTCTTTGCAAAAGGTCTCACACGTTTAAGCTAAAATCGGGTGTCTGTACTACATAGGTTCCAAAATGAGAGCAACCATATAGACCCCATGAAGACCCTCTTACAGTGAGTATGGAAAAATAAAACACCCAGGTCTCCTCCAGGTAATGTATTGTACCTCCAGACAGTCAAATAATCCATCATAATGACTAAGAGTGAAAACCCAAACTCAGACTGATTTGCAAAAGATTTTATTGTTATGGCACAAGATGATGAAACCTCTGAGAATCACTGAGAGCACTGATGAGAGCATGAAATCACATTCACAGCAAAATTTAAATTTTCAGGCTGAAAGACTGTGCCATCATCACATGAATTTCTATACCATATTATGACAAATGCAACTTGTTTGAGCACCAGATGGCACATACACATATAAGCCTAATGAGGGTAAGGGAAGTAGCAAGAAACTATGAGATCACTATTGATGCCTCAGTCCTTAAGTCACCACTGAAGCTGAGATCCTTATGGAAATGAAATGTAGATCCATCCCTTCATAAAGCATTAACAAAAACAAAAATGCAAAAAAAAAACAACTAAATATTCCTCTTGTGAATTTTCTTTCACAAACTTATAACAAATGAATTCTCTGAAGAAAAAAAAAACAATATGCTAAGTGCTGGCAATTCTCAAAAACTTCCCCACTATGAGTGACTACAGTTGTAACTGTTGTGAATTGCAAACAGTCACACCCAACACCAGGAGTTTGCATGAATTCCAATTTGAAAATGGAATTATTCTCTCTCACATAAAGCTTCCACAGCACAGCATAATGATTGATGTACAATGTTTCATCCTCATGGAGACATGGAGAATCAAACAAGGGCACAGTGGCATAGAAACAATCCTCACATTCAATTCAGAAAAAAAAACTTTGGAATATTTAAATTGCACCATTTCTTGGTTTGGCACCAAGTACACAAGATGAAGTGCCCTCTAGCAGCTAGATCAAGGATCAGCTTCACATGAATTACTGGATAAAAGCAACAGCAATTTCTTCTTCAAATGTTGTGTAGGAGGTTCATTCTCTTTACAGTTATTGCATATGATACTACAATATGTCATACGAATGAACCAGTTGTCACTGAGGTAACAGAAAGAAAAACTGATAAAAATTCCTTCATGCATTTCCCTGAGATATAAATGCAGAAAATCCAGTGTGGGAGAGAAGCTTGCACTAAAATCAACAGAGATACAGGATCTTAAATCACTAGGGAGCAAATTTATAGGATTAAAAAGAGTCCTAAATGTGTGAAAAGGTGAAATTTGCAAATATGTGTAAAAATATTAGGGAACTTATAAACTGGACAGAGCTTGATTAATGATTTGCATGGCACAAGGATATGAAAAAACTGTAGAGGTAAATCAACAAACCCTTGTAGAGGTGAAGTATAAAAAATTCCTGCATCTAGATAAAATCAAGCATCACATGAAACAAGTCATTCCAAATGCTGTGTCTGCTCTCTCCCTGTAAACCTCCAGAATCTTCAAAGATATCATTAACTCTGCACATCAATCCTGAGTTCCTTTAGATGGATTTAAAAAATGTAATGTTCAAGTAATACTGTCTTAGTTTTTACTATGAACAAAAACCCCCCTCTACACATCATCACAGATGGAGTGAAAATTCATTCACTTGAATATTCATACCACTTGAGAAGGGCTATCATTTGCAAGGGTTTCTTCTGATTTGGTCAGATATGGAATCATGACTTTGTGAACATTCTTTGCATGAAGACGGACATTACCATTGAAGTTGGAGGCATAACTGCAGCCTTCCACTGGGCATTTAAATGGCTTGATTCCATCATGAGCCATCCTGTGAGCTCTGTATGGCTTCTCACGGGTATATTGCTTCCCACACTCGGGGCAGGTGAAGATCTTCATGTGATCCAACTTTACGTTATGAATCCTGTATAGATGATCTTCTAGTCCAACCTTGGTCTTAAAGCGGTGACCACATTCTTCACACTGGAAGATGGCACGATCCACATTGCTATGTCGATTGTGGTGATGCTTTTTCAACTGACCTGGTCGGGCAAACTGCAAGCCACACTCAGAGCAGACAAAGTCCTTTACTCCCTCATGGACAGCTGCCACGTGGCCTTTCAAATCAGTTATCATATAGAATCCTTTCCCACAGGTCTGGCAGAGGTAGTCTCGCTCTCCCCTATGCCTCTTCATATGTGTTTCCAGAGAAGGTCTGCTCTTCAGCACAGCATTGCACATCTCACACGTATAATATTGAACACTTTTCTGTTTTTCCAAGGTTTTGTGTGTACTCAAAGAGTCTTTAGAATAGAAAGTCTTTCCACATTCATCACATGTGTAAGGTTTACTCTTCATGTGATCTTTGTTAACATGATGCTCAAGGCTTGACTTCAGCCAGAACTTCTTGTCACAGAAATCACATTTATGGGTGAAGGTCTGAGGGAAGTGCTTCTTTCTGTGATGCTTCACTGATTTGAGGGATGCACATGGTTTCTTGCAAATATCACACATTGGTTTCAGCTCACCTGTGACAGGATCTCTGTGATAATCAAAGCTGTCTGGGATAGGAATATCCTCATGCTTGCTTTCTGAACCATTTGGTGAATTTCCTCTCTCAGCCCGATTCTCCTTGCCATTTTCTTGCTCATCTTCATAGTCAACCTCCTCATATGGTTCTGCTCCCTTTGCATCCTTCACAGAGCACAACAAAAAGCAAATAAATTTCCTAACAGGAAGAGGCACTTATGTACAATATTGGCAAGTCAAATGGATGTTAATATGAAATATAATACTGGTGGTACATGGGTACTAGAAAATGAATAGAATTGTAAAATGTGTACCTCAATGAATGCATGCACCACTTAGGTCTAAAGTATGGCTGCAATGAACTTCATCAGTGAAGAATATCAGCTGATACTAGTGATATTGGAAGAGAATTCCATTTTATATTTTTTCAATTGCTTATTGTCATTGAGGAGAACATTAATAAAATAAAAAAGGGAACCAATGACATATGGAGATAGGCCAAGCCTAGATCTCTTATTTATCTCTTGCAAGCACTCTTGCAAGAGTGCTTGCAAGAGCTCTTGGGACTGTGGGATGCAATGAATTAAAGCATAGTTTCATTTATTCTTTCACCCATTCATCTTGATCTCAGAAGGGCTCCTGAAAGTATATCTCCACAGGAGTACAGTATATTGGACCTATATTAATTCAATATCCATATGGTTATCTTATTATTTTTTATTTTCTCATAGGCTATAAACCTTTTGAGGTCTGAGTATTTTGAATATATTGACACTGTCACTGTGTTTTTTCCATACCTTGGCATCATGTCAACATGAAATAACTTGGGCATGGACCCCAAACAGTTAAGTACCCAGGCACCAAAGACAGCCCATATGAGTAAAATTCAATTCCTATGATTCAGAAATAACAGTTGTTAGGTTTTCATCAACAGAGTATAGGCTCACAGGTTTTGAGCCCATTCATGTTGCAGCCCTAGTCTAAAGGGATGCATAAAGAGCTACTCACTGATCCAGCAGAAGAGATTGGTTGGCAGCTGTGGTTACTCTCGATTCCTGGGAGAGACTCATCTCCATTCATCAGCAATTCCTCTTCAGAATCATACTCATCCTTTACAGAATGAGATTTATTGAAATTTAACACCTCAGCTACATTTGACTGAGGCACTTCATCTTTTCTCATCCTCTTTTTCAGAGGAACATTTGGGTGAAGCACTGGCAGCATTAGTGGAAGAGAGACTACTGGCATAGTTGGTGGCAGGGAATCTGTATTTGTTTTGAGGGATCGAATGTGCTCTCCACACTGCAGGGCATGATGCTGAAAGGCAGATGAGGATTTCTTCCAATGCCCACACACTGAATTCTGGAAGCGCTCAAAGAGTGAACGAGTCAACATTTGAGTTTGCATTTCTGTTCTGTCCAATTCATCAAGAATATCAAAACAGACCTTGCATATTGCATCGCAATACTGAAGGAGAACATCTAAGTTCATGTGAAGAACCTTTTCCAATTTCAGTTTTGCCGTGACTTTTGAAGCTGATAAAGCACTCAAACTGATGTATCTGATTGGGGCACCTGGCAACAGTTCCTGTTTACACACAAGGCACAAATTTTGGTTGCTTTTAGAGGATGAGGTTCTTGAGTTGGAGATGGATCCCTTCCCCAACACTGAATTTGTCACACATGTGCCCTTCACTGTCATGTTATTCAAACGAGATGAAGGTCCTATGCTGTTCCCATGGGATTCACAACCAACAGTAGTAGAGGGGGAGCTGCTAGTATTGCCAGTATTGAGCATTGATGTGACTGGAAAGCCATCAAGGTTGGGCAAGAAATAAAGGAGATAAGTGTCTTTGCAGGATCCTGCACTCATGGAGACATTGGAATTTTCTGATGGAATACTATGAGATGAGCTTGAATCTTCAACTGAATGAAGTATTGTTCCACTTTTTGCTGTAGAATTTTCCACTGAGTTGGTAGATGATGTGGAGTCAGCAAGGTCTACATTTAGACTTTCACTTTCATTTATGAGGTTTCCAGGAATTCCTTCAGTTATATCTGAACATGCACTGAAAGTTTTTGAAGACAACATGAGCTTCTCAGTATTTTCTCCAGTTCCATCCATGCTGGTTGGAGGAATGTTGTCTATAGTAATGAATGTTCCATCATTCATGTTGTCTCTACACCCACTCTCATACATTCTAATGAGATCTTCCATTCCTGCTAATTCCAAATCATAAACACCATTCATTAGTCAGCCTTAGTCTTATTTTACTAATAATCCAAGCATTCCAAACTATTCATCACAGACATGAATTAAGGTGACTGCATCCTGAGCAAACTCAATGTGGCACCTGCCCTTTACTCTTTTTCTTCTGACTCATTTCATTCTTCATGACTTCATTATGATCTGTTTGTTGATCACAATGAGTTCAGTCATTAAAGAATATAGGCAAGTCAGAGTCTCTCAGCTGGTAACTAGGGAGACTTTTCATTTCTTGGTGCTGGATATTAAAACAGGAGCACTCACAACAAATTTACAAATACCCTCCTTGATTGACATGTTTGTAAGGATGGCAACCATATTTTATTTAAAACTTAAAAAGGTTTTTGGGATGCTAAACATCTCACTAATATGAAATCCTTAACTTCTTGAGCATGTACTTATAGTGTAAGGCATGGTTTACTCACAATGGAGTAATGACCCATCTTGTCCCAGGAGGACTGGAAGAACAAAGGCCAGTGTTCCTTAAGTCATTCATGTACCTCCCAATATGCCAAAGCCTGATGGCAAGCATTTTATGTCTGAAAACATATTGTGCCAAGAAATGAGCATTCCATTAATTCTTCTTTGAGGAAAAACCACTCCTTCCATCATGACATCATGAGTACCAGCACTAGGGGACAGAATTGGGAAATTACATAATCCATCAATGCACTCTATCATGAAGTGTTACCCATAGTTGACTTGGTGCCACAGTCTGACTGTGGATTGCACTTGATGTTGGAGACCTATGCATGGGTTTAAGTCTCTTTGCATGTGAAGGTTTCATCATGATGGATATGTTCTTAATGGTATATTTTAAAGTAGCTGCACTTCACTCAGCATGTTGAAGTTGATTGATTGAAATAGTCTGTTGGAAACAGACTATTTATTGCTGCCATGATACAATGTTTGTAGAAAGCTACCATACCTGTCCATGTATAATGCTATGGATTTTGTGAGCCACTCTTTGATATTATAAAGATAGCTAGCTGCTAGGGGTTCAGTCACAGTCTCAGCAATAGTGGTTCAAACTTACTTCAGCAGAATGAACATGCAACTACCCAAGGTTGATTGAATGAGACAGATAGGGTGTACCTTGCTTGCCCAGATGCAAAAGCTTTTAGTTAAATGTTAGGTCTGCCAAAATGGCTGATGGATTTTTTCATCACTTCCAAGTCATAACCATAGCAACCATTCACAAAAATCTAGTCACCAGATCTGATCACTTGACCATGAGGTGAACAAAACATTGAGAACCAAGTCAATGAGATTTTGGTGCAATGAAACCAATGAGGAGGAGGAAAAAACATGAGAAAAAAGAAAAAGGGGGGGGGGGGAGAGTTCAAAATGAAAATAATACAAGGTATGTTTAACAATTATTTCTGCAGAAGTTACTTATATTTTCTAACATCCTGGATTGAAATTGAATTACACTCATAGCTAGTTTTACTTCTTCCAGATATTGCCTGCAATCATCAGTATATTTCGCTGACATCATCAGTCTCTCAATAGCACACAGGGCATTGGATACGCCTAATGTGTAAGTAAAGGCTACAAATACACTCTTGAAGATGAATCATGATGCAAGTCTACTTGGGCTGCCTGGACGGTTACAATCTGGTCGGTCGTTGATCATCATGAAAAATTTCATTAACATGTCACCCTCACCTGCTCACTCGTCAGGATTAGGCCTACTATAGAACTTCACGCTAGACCTAGGCCTACGGAAAAGTTATTTTCCAACCTACGCCTATCAAAGCTGCGTGGTGTGTTCACTCTGTGTATCACCATAATCTCTCATTGAGGGGAGAGAAGACATAGGCCTAGAGTGGAGCCTTTGCTCATGAAGAAATTTACTTTTAAGGTCTGCCCAAGTCTACAGTCTAGGATTGGCTCATCGTACTACGCATAGAGTTAAGGACATAGTCAGCTGGTTCGACCCGGGATAGTCAACGGTGGATACGGCAGACAGGCACAATGGCTGACGCCATTGCTTGCAACAGGCCCTGGGCATAGTGCTAGTGATAACACACCTACCTCGTCTCAGGCTTATGGCCCAAGACGAGGCGAATGATACTCCAGTGCCATCAACGCTGTCTGTCCCCTAACAGCTAGGAATGCGTAACGTCTCTCCTCAACTCCCCGTTCGTAGTAACACTTTTTGGTGAGCTGCATGGAATGCCAGGTGAGGAGTTCCTTACCTAATGGCTAAACTAGGCTAGCATCATAATTCTTCATCGCAAAATGCTTATTCTTTGTGAGGGTAATCAAGGAGTAGAAATTGTCTAAGCATCCCCTTTTCGATATAGTCGGGATAACTGAAACTTTAGGGTGCTTCTACCTAACTGAAATCTCGAAAGTCAAGGATTCTGCGCTTTGCGGGATAGGCTCCAGCGGAAGAGTGCCGGTCATTGACTTCGGTGTTGCATAATGGTGGGTCTCGCCTTATTTAATGATGGGGCAGTTGAACACTTTAACCCTTTCAGACCTGGCGTCCATTCAAATGGACATTGCATTTACATTGTGTCTATGGCAATTTCTTAGGATTCTTGTGACTTTGCGCTCCATATTGCGCTATAATGGGCGCAATTATGCTTGGCTCAGTTCCATCAGATGCCTTCTTTCCCCCATTAGTTTTGTAATCTTCAGTTATTTAATTAAATGTTTCATATATAATATATGGTATGATATGGTAAATTTATACAAAATATGAAAACTACATATAAAGCATGAAAATTTCAATTACAATCACGAAAAAGCTCAAAAATGCAAAAAAGGATATTCCAATAGCTGCCTCAATTCAGGTCTAAAAGGGTTAAGCGAGAACGGTGGGACGGCAAGGAGGATCCTGCGAGTCTGCAATGCGCCGCCAGGTGGATGACACTGCCCTTAATGCATGCGTCACAATAGCACGAGGTCTCGGGAAGCTGTGGCTCTTGGGATGTTATATTATGTCGATTGGGCCAGTTCCGTAGGGGGGATGCGATACGGAAATGAGTTTTCCGATGCGATCCCCGGTGCTCATTTTGTGCAGCATATCGAAGAACCAACAGGAAATGGTGCCTAATTAGAATTAGCTTCCGCAACTGATGACGGTCTGACGCTTCACGTTGATGCTCGAGACGGATCGATCGGGTGGTCGCGTGGGACATTCCTCGAAGACGGAAACGGCCGACTGAAGAAATGCATGAATGGAGGAGACGAATTTCGCTGAGCTGAGAGACTTCGTTTCTGGTCCGTGTCGAGAGGGAAATTCGCGACGTTGATAACAGGAGATATTGACAAGTCTCTCTTTGTTTGCTGGAGGGTTGTATCTATAGTGAGCCGGTCTGGCTAACAATTAATATGTGATTCAGGGATTGGATTCAAGAAACTGAAATAGGATCCCTTAGAGGCGCAGGAAATCCAGCATGATTCGAATCGTGTCGCTTCGACGGGAAACAACTTCAGATGCGCAGGAGGTCGCGGATTGGCTAACGAATAAAGCCGAAAATAATCCCCCCAAAAAGAGACTGGGATCATCAGCAAGATGAGAAAGCGATTACTTGGAGAAAGGCATGATCCAAACCTGAACCTTGAACCCTGGCGTCCTCCGAGGGTGTGCCAAGGCGACGCAGACAGCTCAGACGACCATCAATCTCTATTCCTCTAGCAGGCACGGGGCCCGTTGAGCTGTCAAATTGGGCTATTTTTTTGCATGCTTCTATGCAGACGTAACTGGGATGACCAGGTAGCAGGAAACAGCAGAAAAAAAATATATATATATAAATATAGCACAAATTAAAATAAAATAAAACACAAGGCTTCTGTGACAAAAGAAAAGAGCGAGGAAAAAGGAAACACATTGCTCAGTTCCTCCTCTTCAGAATCATACTCATCCTTTACAGAATGAGATTTATTGAAATTTAACACCTCAGCTACATTTGACTGAGGCACTTCATCTTTTCTCATCCTCTTTTTCAGAGGAACATTTGGGTGAAGCATCCCCCCTCCCCCCCCCCCCCCCCCCCCCCCCCCCATAAAAATAATAATAATAAAATAAATAAAATAGATAAGACATACAAGGGATGAATAGGAAGGGAGATGGAGTTGTAAATCAGCAATATCTCCACCTAAACATATTACGTGTGTTCAGCAACGTGAAACTTTAAAAAAGGAAACCGCCCAGTTACGGCCAGAACTCGCCCTGGTCCTAGGGTTTTCACCCGCGAGGATCCTTTAAGCACTCGGTATCTCGTGTGCCTTGAGGGCGCACGAACACGCAAAGATCTCATCACCGGAGATTTCCCCGGCGTTATTACTGTCGTGGGCAAAAAATATATAATTTTTTTTTTAATCGCCTGGAGAACTGGGTCAATATTACAATTTCGATTTAAAAAGTAATCTGGGTGTGTTTCGAGGATTCTCACGTAGAAGTTGCTGCGTGAAACACGAAATTAACGTAGCCCTAGGGCAGTGGTTCTCACCCTTTTCGATCCCACGGCCCACCTTAACGACTGCAAAGCGATCCAAGTCCCACTACAGACTTAAAAGCTGTATAATTTTTGTTCGCATATCTGTTAATTGTTATTTTAAAATTTACGGATACTTGTTACTGCCCATCAGCGGGCCGCGGCCCTCTGGTTGAGAACCACTGCCCTAGGGGACAGAAAAAAAAAGTTCACCAGAACATGAACACTAACAAGAGCACCGTGCCGATCGGCGTGCAGCTCTTTTCTCCGCCGAGAAAGCGCGGGATCCGCTCGGCTCGAGGGACGAGCGGAATCTGCAGCGTGCGAGGCCGACGAGAGAGCACGAGGAGGGGTGGGCGGGGCTTAGATGTGACGTCACTGGTGACGTAGCCCGTTCGCGTTCTCGTTCCCGTTCGAAGGGCATTCCGGCTGGACGGACGGCGCAGTCGTCCCTCGCGCCTCGTGCTCCGACCGTCTTATTGCGCCGCTTCGTTCTATCATGCGACGTTTCATGGGTAGGTTTCACGTTTTTGACCCCTTCGGTGGGTGTGACGTCATGGTGAAATTCACCTCAGAGGGAGTTTGGCTTTTTTTTCGCCCCGTTATATTTCGAGTTTGAGTCAAATATGAATTTGGAACTCGAAATAAAAGAATAAACTCGAGAAGGAGTGGTACATTACACAAACTTGAATTGTTGTTCTCGCGAAAATCATTTCCAACGCCGGTGGTAGGCTTCTGTCCGAGAAATTCCCCACTTGAGGGGTTAGGTCAGAAGGGGTCAAGTCAGACGTGCTATCATGTCATTCGAGCAAAGCAGAGCCATCCCCCGAGCTACTCGTGTGGAAATAGCCTTTCCCTTTCGTTACTCGGAGTTTCGTTTCTTTGATTGGGTATACACGAGGAGTCCTGCTTCTCGACCGCTTCTTTTTTTTTTTGGAACGGTACATTTAGTGCTGCTCGAATCGACGGCATCGAATATATAAAGAATAGCCCAGGAAATCGAGGGTGACGGTGATCCGACGCCTTTCGCGCCTCGAGTGTTACTCATTCCAATCGGGCGTGAACGGCCCCGAGTTACGCAATCTTGCGCAATGAGAACGCAATCCTGTCGGAATCCGCCATGAAGCCCGCAAGATTTCTTCGGACGGAATCGAGCCGATACGACCGTGGTTCGCCTGCGAAACCTCACAAGCATGAAACGAGTGAACGAAACGATCGACTCCGCATTCGAGACAATAACACCGACGAAGACGCATCTCAATTTCGAAGGATTTGCGGAGCATTCACGCGCGAATGCGCATGGACGTCTCGGACCCGGCCGGGGGTCGACACGAATCCAATAGCCGGGATCGGCCCCCCCCCCCCCCCACTAATCATCCCGCTGCAAATTTGATGAGACACGTCGCCGATATCCTAGCAACTGAAGAGATTCACTCCCCCTCCCCCTCCCCTCCCCCCCATCGATTCTCCCTTCCACCGCCCGCCGCAAAAGACACCGTGCCTCCACCGTCGAACGATGCGGCAAACCCAGCGGAAGTTCCTCACCCTCGTCGCCTGTGCCTTCTGCGGGCTGCTCTCCCTCGGCGTGCTCCTCCAGGGCGACGGCGGCGACGACGGCGGCGACGAATTCGCAGCAGGTACCTCATTTGCGGAGGGAGGAATTTGCTCTTCTGGATTCGGCTGACGTGCATTCGCCGTGTATCGATATCCCAAATGTTCGACAAAAGACGATTTGATTTTCGCGCGATGATTGGGATTCTTGTGGCCGGTTTGCGTTCAGGTTTTCAGATTTCCATTCGGAACTTAATTTCTGCAGATGATCGTTTCGGGTTTTGGGTAATCGGCCAAAGGTAACCCCCCCCCCTATATCCGAGCCGTGCTTGAGAAAATGCACTTGCATCGCTGAGATCAGTTTTATGGAAAACGGTCAGTTTAAAATCCTCTGTACCACGAAGTACTCGAGTATCTCCGGAATCGAAAGAGCAATTCCAAAACCATCATAAAAGCCATCAAATGAAAAAAAAGCAGATGAAGCCATCAAAAACACCCGGCATCGAAGATTCGTGCTAAGACTGCCATCGTCAATTGGCGGAAAAAAAAAAAATCGACAATTTGCACTTGAGCCCATAGGAGCGTGGGAAGTGTAGCGTACCCAGAATGATTTTCCACTTTTTTTTTCCCCGGAAGGGAAAAGTAGCCACGGTAAAAAAAAAAAAGATCTATCGAAATAGATATGGCAGAAGCAGTCCGACTCGAATGCGCCGGCCTGGTCTTTCGGGCGCCTCGGCGCAGGCCGAGTCTGCGGTCGGGGGAGAGCGAAGAGCCAGCAGAAGAGGCGAGGTCGTTGGGGGGGGGGGGGGTTGTTTGGGGTTGTCGTTTTGTTGCTTT